CAGATAAATACTACTTGTGAATATGTGTTTGGTGTTGCCAGCCCATCTTTCATTTACTGGAGAAGCTAGTTTATCTTTTACTTCAGCTCTCTCTTTTCTCTCCGCTCCTCCACAATCCCTTCATATTTCTCTACCTCCTTCCTTCCCTCCCATCTCATCCCTGATTTCCTTCCTTGCCTTCCTCTATCTCTCCCTCCCTCTAATCTACTGCAATGACCTGAAGGAGGGCTTCACACTGCAGCGCTCAAATAATAATCAAGCACTAGGATGTTGTCAAATTTATAGGACACTGAGCGTTGCATAGCAACAGAGATTGCCAGGGTGATCCAACAGGAGCTTGAAGTTGGGTGAGGGAGAAACGGGGCAAGTGACAGGAGACAGAAGAAGGAAGGAGAGATGACAAGAAAAACAGGAGACAGGATAGAGGGATGAGATGAGAGTAATAGAAGTATGATATTATACACAAAGGGAGAGATAAATGAGAGATAGAGAGGCAGAAAAGGAAATGAGAAAGTTAAGGTTGGCTTAGCTGAAAGAAAAGATCCATAGACACTGCTGGCTGGTCTTTTTGGCTTGCAGTTCAAGTTATAATTATCATCATGTTGACATATTTTACTATGGCATTTTGGCATACAGAGGTGGTATTAAGTTTAAAAGTGACTTGAATATAGCAGAGCGAAATATCCATTTACCTTAAGTCCAAATGCAGGCTGCTCTTTTGCTGTCACTAAAATCCTTGTACATCAAGGAAGAAATTTTTTTTTTGTCACACATTTCTCATTCTTTTCACTTTGTTTCACATTTCTTTTCTTTTCTCTCTTTTGTCCTTTCTTTCTTTATTTGACGTTAAAATCCTGAATTTCAGTTTCCTGTTTGTCCTTTTTGCCTAGAGACTGCTTTGGACTGCTTGTCACCTCTCCTTATTTTTCTTCTAGTCTTGTGTCTACCAGTTAAAACAAACAGGACAATAACACGACATAAGACAAACAATGAAGCTTTGTATAAAGTCTGGAATTCTTGGAATTACTTAGAATTTTGGAAATGAGCAGTTTTGATATTTTTAAACTACCGTCATCATCATCATTTGAATGCTTGTACTGCTGACAATCACAAGAATATACAGAAATTTAGCATCAAATGTATTTTTATTACTGTGAAAGGTGAACTTATAAATGTTGTTCTGTTAAAACAAATGAGCCTATATTGTTTTCTGCAGACAACAAACAAACAAACAAACAAATAAACTGTTTTTAAAGTAACCAAAGAAAAACATCTCTAACATGAACAAACATGATTATAAAATGACCTCAATTTGAGATGTCAGAGTTTTCCTTTAGTTACACTTCTACAAAAGTCTAGGAGGTCCAAACATGACATTTAGAATTGAACAAGTTATTGAAATGGCATTAACAAAGAATTAATAAGTTAATACTCTGAAACACACTTGCTAACTGCTAACTACTAACCTGTAGTATTTGGGCGCTCGTGGGCACGGTGGTTCCTGGCGTCTTGATTATCTCAATATTCCAGAGCCAGTATGTCCCTTCAGAGGCAGTTATCTCTCTGTGTCACTGGCAGGTGTTTCAGATTGGAGAGTCAACTGAGTTCAAACGGTGATGACAGCTGTGCTCCGGACTAATTATTTCTTGTCACTGTGCACAGATTTGTCGTGGATGGCGTGCTAACCACAGGTCCTCTAGACAGAAAAGTGTCAGTCTAACCCCAAGGTCACTTGGTGGAGTCTTTTTAATGGACTGCTTTATTGCGAAAATGACAAGCTGTTGTTGTTTATGAATATTCAATGAAAAAAAGATGATGTCATCAGATGTCAATGAGGGCAGAATAAATATTAGAAACACCTCTCAGTATAAGACAATACAATTCACCAACACAAACTACACTCTCCACATAACCTTAAAGTTTGATCAACACGTCTCTACAAAAATGTATTATTATCATCTTAAAGGTAGGATTTATACCATTTTAATACAGTGCACTAATTTAAGGTAGGTGTACCTAACTGGCAAGAGAGTATCAATCCAGTGATAAAGGCAATAATCAGTGGTGCCAATTTAGCAATAATGTTGTTGGATATAGCACTTTCTCTGTCTACCCAGTTTTATTTTTTTTAAATAATTTTTTTTAATAAAATGTATTTAGAAGACTTTTAGCAACTTTTGAAAAGTGACGCAAATGCTCAAATGACATCCCTTGTTATTAGCAAGTAGCTTGTACCTACAGTATAATTGTTGATTAGTTAGGTATCATGTTAATCACCAATACTCTGCTTACAACAGGTAACTATAATTGTTCAGGGTATGTAGTTTTATTAGGAATCAGGATTTAAAAAGGAAAATGTATATACACCTTGCTTGAGCTTGATAGTTGCAATTGTTCAATAATCTTACACCTTTTCGGTTTGATACATTGTTGTTCTTGTTGTTAGCAAGCAATAAGCCACAACTACAGTTGTTCATGTGTAGGCTTACTGTAGGTTTTACTATGTGACAATAAAAACATGAATAAGACAATTCTATGATGTATTGTGTTTAAAAATTAAACACATTTGATCATAAAAAATGTGTTCATATTACTTTTACAAATAAAGATAACCTTACAAATTTCTTATCAGGTGACCAGTCAATTTGAGTATCGTCACTTTATATTCTACGTAATGATGCAGTTTTACGTCATTACATAATGATATCAGCACGAAATTACAATTTATTGAGGAACTTTAGCAACAAATTGAGCTGTCTGTAGCATCTTCACCTGAAAATTAGTTGGCCACACTGGCAGTAATCCAAGATTTAGATATGTCAGTATTTCTTGTCGTGAGCAGAATGTACGATAGCATTATGTTTTTTCAGACAGTAGGAAAGCAAACTCAAACCACCTTATAAAGAACCATTTTATAACTTTATAACACAGGTGCAACTGTACAAGTAAGCTATGGGAATTAATAATATGGAGTTAACGCAAGATCATCATTTAGTTGTTCTGACTTAATTTGTTGATATCTAGAGTACCGCTGTTTATTTTGATGATAATATGCAAATACATGGACATAAAGTTCATGTGCACTTTGGTGTTAAAAGATTTAAGGGCAAATGTGGAGAAATAATTTTGAAAACTGCATAATTCATGACCTGCTTGGAATAATAACATATGAAATATTCATTAGCTAAATTACTTATCTATGTAATCTGCTTTTGTTGTCGAGTTCAGGGGAGAAAGGGCAGCAGCGGGTGCTAAGGCTAGAACAAACAGTCTGGTCTTTTCTGCAAACGGAGCAGAGTCAGCCGATTCATTATCAGTGAAAGAGAAAAAATAACAGCGTCCATCCTCACCGAAATGCCGTCTTTGTTTGTGAGAATTAAAGAAAAAAAAATGTACTGTGCATAAACATAATGGGTTTTGTATCTACATATAGCACCCCAGTACACAGGCAATCATTGGATACTTTGGCTGCCTCTCTGACTGCTCTTTTCATGCCACGAAAGCTAGCCCAGCTCAGTTACATTTCAAAGAGGTTACCTAATGCAATATAATGTCAGTCATTTGAAGCAAAGGATTTTAACATTTAAAGGTGGTGTTCCTACACAGCAACACGTTTTGACATCTTCCAGCTCTTCTTGACGTTGAACTCATTCATGCTCGCATTAAAGCGCAGCTCCATTAACACAGATGATCAAAAGATGCTGGCCAAGGCTTTGTTGGTACATAAAACAGCGGCGCACAATTCCCATGAGTAGGCACACACTGGTTCCACTGTGTCATTATTAAGGTTAATATTTGCTTTACTACACCTTGGCTTCTGCTGGTTTCATAGTCCTGTAATCTGTGGACTTCAAACAAGAGAAACACACACAGCTCATAAGCGCAAGCGCACGTGCAAATGGATGATTAAAAGCAATAGCTCTCAGTGAAGTTCCTTCCTTTGTCTTTGTTGCAGGCAAACGCACATGTCAAATTCGACCCAGTTAATCAAAGTCTGCGTGCATGGAGTGTCAGAGGGAAGAATCGGGGGCGTTGCTTTGTGATTCTCTACTTTTCTTTAAGCAGCCACTGATCCTTCCCTCTCCACAGATCTACACCACCACTAACTCGGTGGAGCAAAGAAGGGTTTTTTGTGTGTCACCCATACTGACACATACAGTAGGAGAGAAATACAATGTTTCGATATAGCAATTGTGTCAGATGATGAAACTGCTATTAGAAAGAGGTAATCATATTTAGCCATGATACTGTTATCTGCATTGTCTCACACTTCTGCCGTTGATTACGCTGCTGTACAGTGAATTGATATTGGCCAGAGTATTACCATCTGCTAATTGAGTTGATTTTACATCCGTCTTGTGTGTGTGTGTGTGTGAAAGCCAGCTAATTCCAGGCACTCATAACACACAGCCAGTGATGCTCTGCCAGTTTTTAGCATAGCTGTAAGGATATCCACAGAGCTTTATCCTCTTTTCTCACGAGGACATAAACCCCCTTGATGTAAATTATACCAACTTTGGTTTGGTTCAGATAGCATTACATCTCATTAAGATGTCAGCTTTTCAAAACTTGCACACCCTCGAGCATTAAGGCCTTTTTGCAATTCACAAGATCTGTCCAAAAAACTCCAAAAAACAACCCTGCCTTGAAACAAGCAAAATGGTTCAAAATGGTCGTTTCCTTCTGACCTAATTTGCAATGCTGGACAACGCTGGCTGGTTTGGCCTGTTTGCTGCTGTATCTGCTCCTTGGGTTGATTAATGCACCGAGGGACTCACACAGCTGGAAAGGAGGCAGTAAACCAGAGGAGGGAACAAAGACTAGTGGGCCACACGGGGTGCAGCAATTAAGCTGTTTTCTTGTTGTTAATTAAAAGCAAATTAGAGACTGCGACAGGAGTTGCTGTCTAGCCTTAATTGCTGGCAGCATGTATGCACAGCTACACCTGTTGTTGCATCTTCACTCACTCATCTTAATCTTTTTTTTTGTGCTTTCCTTAGGGACGAAGAGGAAAGCCTGGGGAGCCTGGACCCAGAGGCCTGCCTGTAAGTGATATACAGTAACACATGCACACACTGTTCAGAAATGTTACCTATTGATTTAAGGTAAAGAGATGAACTGCAAAATCTGCAGTAAGACTAAATAAATCTATTAGCTTAGTGCATCCATCTCACCATAACGAATAATTTAACTTTATTTCTCAGAGAATTTCCCTGAATTTGAGACCTGGCTCACATTTGACACATTACAAAAGTTACGAAGTCATCGTAACTATAAAACCATATTAAAGCAAACAGTCACAGCAGACATGCAATACAAGCTTAAAAAGTGCAATCACACGGGCTATATTGATCTGTTCAGAATTGTCTCCCATACTGCTGCAAGCACGCTATATTATTAGTACAAAACCACAAGGGGTATATTAAGGTAGCACTTGAGAATGCTTGTATTGATGAGTAGGACAAGTCTGCCTGTAAGGCCCGTTGACTCCTTGAATTATGGTATTTTCCTCAGGCATCCAAACCAATCCGAGACACCGTTTGTGTGTTTGTGTAGTGACCCACACACTAAAGGGTACAAACACCACGATGCGTTAAAGGAGACAGCTTGTCAGACTCTTAACTGCTCTGATGACAGGACAAACAGGACTGTTTAGGCGTCATGTAGCTCTGACGCTTTTGGTGTCCAATTATTTTCATGCCCTATTGTTCTGATTACGCTCTTGATCAGGACATAGGGTTGGTCTTTTTTCATTTCATCCAGAAATCCAGAAATATTCTGTTCTTCTTCTATCACCGTTATGCTCAATAGGTTCAATTATCTTTAGTATAATCGAGCTACTCACTGTTAAACCTCTCCCACATGACTCAAAGAGTCTCCTGCCTCCTTAATAACTCATAAAGTTGTAGGACACAAAGTCGTAGGACAAAAGAAAGACAGGATGGAGAAGGTGTGACATTTCTAAATGGCAATGTCCTGATGATACCCTTAGCATGTGCCAGATTTGCCTCCATCCCCTGGTATTGGCATTTATGAGTCACCTGTTTTGCTGAGGTAGATCTCAGGGGCAAAATCATCTATTCAAAACACACACCAGGGCATCACTCTCTGTTGTCCATTGGCAGCAGGACAGTGCTCGCAGTTGAGGGGGCATTGGTTATTTTTCAATGTCAAATTAGCATTGCACGACAACGGGAAGGTCTGTGAAAGGCACACAACAAAGACTCGCTCAAAGATAATCTATAGACTGCTGGGGTCTGGCCACGTCATTATGAGAGCTAGCATTAGTGCAAAGGTTATAAAAAATATAATACAACAGGCCTTTGCTGTAAATAGGAATATTTTTCAAGTAAAGTTGCAGGTTTAAATTGGGGTTACGAAAGGCTTAGGATGGTTAAAGAGTGATGATGAAAATAAAATAACACATGCTCTATTCACCAGTGTTCATATAATCGTCTTTTTTGTGACACAATTATCGTTTCTCTGTGTGAAAAGACTATTTCATTGCTTGTAATTGCAGGGTCCCTCTGGAACCTCTGACGGAGCAAGTGTCAAGGTATCACTCAAAACATTATTCGTCACAAAGCAAAGTACTGACATGTGGCATTTAAAGTAGATTTGAGCTGTCTCCTTGTTTGATAAACCGGCCCTTACCTGCACTTCCAGCATGGGCAAATTGTCAAGATGACTGAGCATTGTTCACTGTAGCAGTCCTCTAAATAGCCAAGGAGTTTAATCATCTGCACTGTGTTGTCTGTATAAAGATGTACCGTGTTTAAATAGTTTTCTAAAAGAAGCCAGCCACACACACACGTATTACCAGACCTCTGTCCTTGACTGACATTTTTGTGTTTTTAGTCAGTGGCTGATCTCTCTCAAATGGCACCTTTCAGTCAATTGTAGCCTATCAGCTGTGCAAGTTAAATAGCTGTTCCCACCCTGCACCTCCTGCAGCGCAGCACAGTATGACTCAGTTCTCACACTCCAAACAGACAGATGGCCATTACGTACAGTGCTTTTGCAAAAAGGGTCTGCAATCATTTTCATGAAGCCCAGGGGTGCTGTAGCTCACCAGAGGCACATGAGATATATGGTGTAAAAAAACTCTCAGACATGGACCTCTACCAGGCCTCCTGCTGTCTCTTTTGCTACCTTCTTCCTTCACAAACCCTACCCTACCCCCTCAGCACCCACACACCACCCACCGGGCCTCCAGTGGCCCACTTGTGATCACGCTGAGAGTGAAAGCTATTGTGTAGTGGACAACCTCTTGACCGCAACTGTTCATTTGATGTATAGGTGCGTCGTTTGCTGGGGTGTCAGCTCAGGCCGCAGAATTCCTCCTGCTCCCTCTGCCCAGAGGAAGGAGAAGTGTCAGCTGGCCAACCTTGAAAAAGAAAGTTGTCTGTATGAGGACATAGTTATTATACCTCAAAACAAATGGGATCATTGCAGTAGGTATGCTAGAGGCACAATGGATAGTGGTTTCGGATGAAAAATTACATAGTATTACCATGTCCTTGTAAGTCGAGCTTAAGAATAAAATGACAAACAGAGGTTACCTTGATTAAGTTTTTAAGTGTTTTCTGTAATTGGTTGTTGAGTTGCAGCTTTATTATCTCACTTAAATCAGTCACATATGATAAAATAAAGCTATAGAACACAAACCAACGATTGGCAGAAAGCAAAACAGCTCTGACATTGTGGGTTCAGCATAGTTTCTGCAATTGCTATTTCACTTTCATAGGTCTTTTGTTAAATTAATGGCTGAAGACTTTGAACACTGAAGAAAAAGACACACAATGCAACAAGAGCAAATCATTATTATATATTGTCAGTGTGTGTAAAAGTTTACACGTTTTTGAAAAAGTCTCTGAATTCAGAATGATGGAAGGTATGAGTAACACCTGCAGGTGACCAAAGCTATCAATTTGAGATTAGATTAAAGCATTATGGTTAAAGAATATGATTCAAGCATTCATTTTAAGACCACTGACTCATCCTGATGTTAGGTAAAGTTGTGGTGCTGAGAAACATTGTTTCAATGCTGTAATGCTCACATTAAATGTGCATGCCAGCCTTGCCCTTGCCATGAATCAGTCATGCCCTTACATTACGGATACATCTTTGCTTTGTCATTATAAATTCATGCTTATTGTGGATAACAAGAAAACTCACTTGTCTCAGAGAATCGCCTTCCATTCTAATCTGCTAAAGTGAAACAAGTATAGCCGTGCATTTAAAGGAATTTATACAATCCGACATGATAAGTAAGGGAAGATAACCGTCACACCTCAGAGAGGAATGGAAAGTAACAGTTTCCATGAGCAGTAATAATTGAGAAGCATCAGGGATTCTCACTACATCTCAGTGGCCGTCCTTGTGCATCTTTTAGTTTGGACAAAACAGACACAAGTTAGACTAAACTACAGCTTGTGTAACATCTGTGAGCTGAGCCCCCTCTCCCTCACTCAGCAGAGTGTGAATGTTTTAAAGTGAGAAAAAAAGGCTCTGTGCGGTGAATGATGTGCCGGGAAGACGGTGTTCTCATGAATCACATCTCCATAACTGTATCTCCTGCTGACAGTCTCAAACAGGCTCTGACAGAACACTGCAGATATTGATGGAGAGACGGAGAAGGATGCAGACAGGCTTAATTGCAGTTTGATGACTTGAGGTGCCTCAAAGTCAACATCCCCCACAGACTTCCACAGGTGGACCAGTTCCCTGTCCTATACACGCTGGGCTTTCTCATTGTGTAAATACAGTGATAATCTGGATAAATACTGCCTGTGCTGCAGTTAATCTCATTTGAAAGGTTTATTAACTTGTTACATACCCCTCTGCCAAATAAATTGACTTTGAATGATATTCCACGGAGATCTAACAATGATAACGACAGACATATTTTGCCACCAGTCTATGCCAGAATATAGCACACAACATTTTTACAACCATTGACAACCCGGGCTAATACTAACTTTCCCTTAGATGTGATTTACATTGAATGTCAGTCATAACTCAGTGCAAACTGCTTCAACAAAGGGAAAGCAGTATAGCATGTGGTTTACAGTTACTGTAAGACAGAGATTGTACAATGTTATAATTAATAAGGCTATGGTGGTAAAATCATGAGATCCTGTGTGGCTGATAAAGCTGTGCAGAATTCAATTAGCACTCAAAGTCAATTCTGTCACTTGTCCGTCCTCTCCGCCTAAAATATTAATAGGACAATCCATCTGTTTATACATGGCTGCAGTGTGCTGACTTAATAACAGCTCATAATTTAGACGAGGAAACAGTGACTATATCTTATTAAATGAATGGTATCACGGTGGCAGTCATTAGTGAGTCTAAGGAATGGGGGATGGGCTGAAACTGAATGGCAATTATTGTCAGAGTCCAGGCGCCGCTAAGGAGTGTGCAAATATGCTGCAACCTTTCTCAGATTGCTAAACAGATGCTCCATAATGTCTCAGCATGGAGTATCTGAAGCGTTCCCTACAAATCTTTACCCATGTCAAGCAAAACAACAATAATCTTTGATGAACAACCGTTTTTTGGGGGGTTCTCTGTCATGTGTGTTACTGTTTGGAAAAGAACAAAACATCACAAGTGAGCTTTATTAAGCATGTCAGGAGATGTGAAGCCATGCATTTGTATTTGGTTCATTATTTGCCACACTTCTGTTGAAATAATAAATCGTAATAAGGAGGTGGGAAATGCATACAGTATGATGTGTCTCCTGCATATATATATTTAAAAAATCTCTTTCAGAACTCTTAAATCTTTTAATTATTCATTCACTGTGTGTCTTGACCAAGGTGCAACTCCATTTGTTTTACAGTTGTGTTTACTTAGTATTCTCCACATAACTGACAGGAAGAACTCTTATTAAAAATACTCAAAGGACAGCTCACCAGTAGTCATAAAGTGCCATCTATTGGCAGACAGGGGAATGATTTTAACATGGAAACGTGGAAAAGTGCTGCAATGCAACAGGGGCTTCAGTTTTTCATTATACTGCTGGACTTACAACCCCATAGTCTCGCAGTTTCTTTTTTTCCTACCATAATTACAAAAAATTGTTTTCTGATTACTTACAAAACACATGTACGTAACATCTGCCCTTGCCTTGGTTTCACTCTCTGAGCTTTCTGTCTTTTTGCCCTGCCTTTGCTGTCAGTCACTGTCAATGCTCTGTTCACATACAGGGTGAGTCTGGAGTCCCAGCGGAAAAAGGGGAGAAAGGAGAGAGAGGAGACCCTGTACGTATTTTCCTGCAGTGACATTTACAATGCCGTTGTGTTACAGAGTCATTAACCAAGGCCTCCTCCCACAGGGTCAGCCAGGTGCTGAGGGGGACAGCGGGATGAAAGGACAAAAAGTAAGTCACATCAATGTCAAGTGTCATACATGGTGATTCCCTCTGTTTGTGCTCGCTGAGACTCGGCTTATATATGTGGAGGTAAGGGGGACAGAGCTGAGGAAAGCAGAGAAAAAGGTGGTGGAGGTAAAGTAGTTCAAGCAATATAATTGGTATGATACGATATACCAGGATTCAGAGACTAAACCTTTTGACTTAGTTATCTTCCCCTGTTTCCTCTGAAACCCCCTGCAGGATGCACAGAACCAAGGCGAGGGTTTTCAGTTTTGCCCTTATGTCTTTTATTTAATTACCTCAGATTGTTTGTTTATCTGCCACAAGAAATTCAGCTAAATCTTTAGGGAAGTTGGGCCATGTGTCAGGAAAGAACATATTATTGTATGTGCAGACAGTGCCATCATCTGACCATTTACAACACACTTTACATTTCTTTCAATAAGTCCTGGCATTTGAAGTGTGAGAAGCCTAACTCACCATTTTCACAGATTCACTTATCATGCACATATTTATTATTATTATTATTTATTATATATTATTATTTCACACTTGCTACCAATTTCATCCAATCTTAATCAAAATCAGTACATAATCAGTACCGTATGTATTGTCTATTTATTATTCATTCTTGAATGCCCTCTGCAGTCATACGAAAGATACACATATCAACTCTGGACAGTCCTGTTGAAATTTGAAATCAACTCACGGTCAAAGATTGAAAAAGGCCCCTTAAAAGGGAGGAATTTTGGATTTCTAAACTGAGCACTTTTAAGACTGAAAGGGTAAAATCAGAAACCCAATTTCAATCAATTTTATAGAGTTCAGTGGATTGCAATTGTTTTGCAAAGCAAGACTAAGAGTGTACAGCCATGCTAGCGGCTCTGTGAGGCTGTATGTGGGCACAATGCTGCTAAATGCTCATAATAAATATGCTTACATGCTGATAGTAATGTTAAACATTATACCTGCGGATGATGACAGATGAAAAATCTTTACAGCACCAAAGTGCAATTCATCCTGAGGGAGGCATGAATGTGTGAATAACATTTTCCTGACAATTCATCCAATATTTGGGAAGACGTTTCATCCAAAGCATAAATGTCAACCTCATTGTGACGCTAGAGGAAGATCACCAAAGTCATTGGGATAAATAGTTGGACACCATGACTGTATGTGTACAACTGTGTGCTAATCTATCCAGTATACCTTGAAACCTTCTGGTGGCTCTAGATGAAAAAAGGAGTCAGGGGATCACCAATGTCAATAGGATTCATCCTCTGGGAACCATGAATGTCTGTATAAAATGTCACTGCAGGTCATCAAACAATAATATTTCCGCCTGGGCCAAAATGATGGACTGGCCAACATTAGCCATCACTAGAGCTATGATGTTAGCATGGCTACCTGATTGACTTGTTTAATTAAACCCTTAAAGGGATGGTTCACCCCAAAATCAAAAATATCGCCTTCTTTCGAATATAATGGAACAGCAATGTCTTTTTCCAGAAATCATGACCCGGTGAAACTGGGGGACTGAAACTGCTGGTTTAATCATATTCAAGAAATGCGCCTTAGATTTTTATATTCTCCTAAAATCAGCATGACTGTCTATCATCATGTGTATTTTGATCCACAGGGATTAAAAACTTAAAAAAAACTTTTTAGAATAAGAAATGTAGAGGATTGTGTAGGTTTGGCAAGGTACAGCATGCATTCGCTGGGTACTTTTTAGTTGTTTATCGTACTGTATATACACAGATGTTGTGCTGTGTTACCTTGTTTTATTTAAAGCATGAAAGTTATAGCTTGTAAATTATGAATGGAAGAATGGAGGCTCCCAAATGCAATTCATCACAATTAAGAGCCTTCTACGGTTCCCCGGAGCACCCAATGCACCCATTACAAAGGGTTATACACTGTATAAGTATATATACACACGCGATGAATACTACAACATCCTACATGATGCACATGAAATGCACAGCATCACAGTATGCTTTTTAACAGGAATGCTCTAATGTTTTCTTTCCACTCATTTCAGGGCTTTTCTCACATCACTTGAGTTAGACAGTATTTTCTCTGAAGTCTGGTCATGTTATTGCCTCCTTTATTGTTGCTCCAAAACCTATTGATGCAGTTGTTCGAGGTCACCTGTGGCAGCATGCTTTCAGAAGTATTTTCTCAAGTGCATTTTTATGCTGTATATTTTTTCTCATTTTTGGGCGCTGTCTTGTTTTTGTCTCCCTGTCTATCAAGCTGTAGTGATTGATATTTTGTTTCTGCTGTATTTTCAGGGCGATGTTGGCCCCCCTGGTCCTCCTGGTCCTGTAAGTACAATATAGTGGTAAAAGCCTACCTTACAGAATAGTGTTCGTTGTCAATTTTGTTGTGAGATTCCATCAATGTTTTGACACCACACCATGCTGGATGAGTAACAACAAAAGAATTGATTATAGCATTAGTGCTCTGTTCTCTACAACTTAAGAAACTGTGCAACTTTTGTGCATCAGTAAACTGTGTACTATGAAAAATGTGGGGACCAGGAAAAAGCAGCAGCAGAGCAGTGTTTATCTTTTCTGTCACACCTCCAACATGGTGGCATGTCATCTTGTAACCAATTCACATTCTTTGACAAGCCTGTAGATTTGTTCTTTCTTCAGATTTGTAGTTAAAATTAAAAAAAAAGACAATACACACATACAAGCACTGTATCAATGTTGAAAAAAAGGGCATGAAACATGGGCAGCCTTTTCAAGGCAGTTGAGAATAGTCGTGTTGAATTTATCAGAGGGAGATCTTCCTTGTTTTGTTTTTTTCAGGTGATGAACTCACTGATATTTGGCAGCAAGCTCCCAATGAGTTATTTTTTAGCATTATCCACAGCAAAGAAGTATGCATGAAATAACTTGAGCAGGCATAGAAAGCTGTGTAGTGTGATTTCCTGTGTATCTAGTATTAAATGAAAGCATCTTCACTGGCCATCACCCACTGATGCCGTAGTCTTTCGCTTGGAACAAAAAAAATATTTATAGTGTGAATTAGTGGGAGCTGTGCAGTACATGACCTATTCGTAATGTTCATATTTTAATTATAGAAACATTCTGTTGGAAGACGCTAGTGCAGGTTTATTGGAGAAGAGGCTAAAAACAGAGAAACTCTGACGTCATAGTGGTTGTCTGATGTGCGTTGAAGGTGACATGGAGTGGGTGGTGCTGGGATGATAGAACTCATTCCTTAGACATTTTAAAGTCAAACTGCACTGTGACAAATCGGTTAAAAATCTACAAGGGGGCAGTAATGACTTCAAAGACACGCTGCAAATATGACTACCATTTTAAAGAAAAAATAGAAATTTAAGCATAAAAAAGTGTCAAATGAAAACATGGTGTTGGAGCCCACAAAGTGAGGGGTTTGACATTTAAATGATTCTGTCCTAATGGGTTTTGTTCTAAATATCTGCTGCCTATTGAGTCTCTGAAGTCTTCAAACATGAGCTTGGAAACAAAGTTGGATTCCTTTCATTCTTATTCTCATTGTCATTGCTTGTTAGCAAGTAATTCATATGGAAATTAGACAACTTAATTATATAGCAAACAAATCACTCTCCACTGGTTTCACTGGTTTCTGTCTAACCAACAAAAAGTATATTTTCTTAATAAGAATGGATATCAGTGCAGGAGGTTTTAATGGCTGTTCAAAACATTTAGGTCTTGCTTTGTAATTATTTTTGAATAGTTGTCTCCTTTCCCTAAATTTCATTATAGAGGAAGATATAGACATTTTCTATCAAAACACATACAGTTGTATTCATTGTTGTGTAGTGAGGTATGGGTCACACAGGATATAAGAGATGTATAATATAGCATACAGCAGAGGGGAAAACATTAGTCATTTGATAAATGAGGCTGTTTGAATATTTAGTGCCAGTCTCTGTCTGTGCTCTCTGCTTTCCCGTGGCAGATAATTTTGGCAGTTAAGCATTGATTTCCCTTACACAGCAGAAGTAAGGGTTCAGATCATTACCCTCTCTTCATAAACCTTCTTGTGCCTCTGTTTATTAGTGACGGGGAGGAGCAGTGGGCTTACAGGCATGCACGGCCATCACTTCCCCCACCGCCCTTAAAGTGGCAAAATAGTCAGTTTCAGCTCTGCGATGGTCCTTTTATTCATTGTTGCCAGTATTGCTTTACAATAGAGCTTTATCATGTATTAAACTGAATATGTTATTCCAAGGTATGTTGAGTAAAAGGTTCCACGCAGAGAATCTTATTTGGTCACATAGTGATGGACCTGGGATATTGTTTAGTATGTGAAGCAAGAACATTGACAGCAGCTGCTTAAGTGAGTGACTGCAGGTTGAAGGTTGGCTGATTATGCAGACACTCCACTGGGATAGTAAGGGGTTCAGTACCTTACTGAAGGTTACTTTGACCATATTGCTAAAGGAGGCTCTCTTCATGTCAGGTTTATTTGTACTGTATAGACGTAATCACAGTAACACTCAAAGGGCTCAGAGGCACACATTCTGCCAGGAAACAAGGACAAAACATCCTAAATGAAAAAAAAAGAAGAAATGGCAAAGTGCCATAGGGGGACCAAACTTTACCCCACCTGGATATGGCTTTCAGTTCCAAGATTGCTTCTATTGTCTCTTCCTTCCTTTTCATTATGCTAAAACCACCCAAGACTGAACTGGTTATAACTGCATACAAGGGTGAAACATGCAGTTAACATAACACAAAGGGCCTGAGAACATTCAGATGTAATGAGAATCAGATGATTATAGATAGATAATTCAATTTTTTCTCTCGCTTTGCTCAGTTTTTAATACATTGGGCTTTAAACACTCGCCTCCCTTGTAAACCCCCTTTCTGCAGTTCATACCAAGATTGTATCATGCATCTCAAATCCAGATTGTATCGAGATGTGCCTGTGCCACCTGCAATCAATATGTGTCTCCAATGTCTGCATTGCAACTGAAATGTTATCATGAACAGTCCAACTGAAACAATCACTCGTATCATCAGTGACTGCACCGTTGGCCGTTCTTAAAACTGCATTATAGGGACAATTTCTTGATATTTAAAGTGACAGGAAAAGCCAACAAGAAGTTTCTTTTTATAGATTTGTGGAGTTAAATATATTTGCATGTCCATTTGTGTGCGGTGTGGTCACTTATGTCAGTAATTTTGCCACTGAATAATATATAATCATTAGTGTGTATTTATACCTGTATTATTATTTGAAGTGCTGCAATGCCAGGTCTAAATTAGGTTTTTGGTAAGATGTGTAACCAGCAAAAATAATGATTTTAGGATCAAGTAGCTCTGTAGAAACACTTTGAATTGCTGCTTTATTTGGGGATATCGTGGACATTTCTCCTCTTCACCCAAAGCAGTTACAGGAATCAGTCCAACTTAACTTGTTGGTCTTGACCTTTGTCCTTCCATTTCATTTAATTTTGTCTGCCGTGTGACCCTGTCAACCCATTCTGAGCTTTACTGAAGATATAAAAGAAAAACACTCTAAATAGTGTTTCATTCTTTTCTAATCAAACCTAGGTTCAGATTGGTAATATGAGGTTCAAGGTTGGGCACATGTGTTTGTGAATCAAGAAGTTGTTACTTCTGCCGTATATTGCCTTTAAAAACAATCAACATTTCAGAGTGTTTTTCTATCTTTTACTTGCTGTAATTGCAAAATCAGTAGAGACTGTTCAGCGAACACTTTTTCATTACTTCTAGGTGATGACAGCTCACGGATTAAGACAGCTCTCTGGAACTGTAAGCAGCTGTTCACATCATAAAACTTGAAATGTTAATGTATGGCATCTTTTTTTCTGTTGTTGCTGTTCAAATAGTACACAAGGCATACTTCAGTCAGATTTTGAAGTGTTCTGTTTTCTCTTGTGTTTGAGGATGACATGAAGGAGAGGACCCAAAAGGGAGAAAAGGGAGACCAGGTAACCATTTCCCTCATTATTTTTTCTCAGTAAAGATAATTTAACCAAAGGAAAATTGCATAAAGTATTAGTTTTCAAACATTGCATCCAACATTTGACACTACGGCGTGAAAAATGTTTATATTTCTTATGTAACTCCAACAAAAGCAGCGCTGACATTTGGTTTCAGAAAGAACAATTGAACTTTGCCTGCTGTTCAGAGTTTAATGCTGTCTTTGTGCTCTGCAGAGGTGAAGCCCAGAATACATTTGAGTACAATTACTGTTTGGAACTAAAAACAACAGATGCATCTTACTTGAGGCAAGCAGATTAAAAAGGCCACTGACGCAGCTATTGACCGAACATCAAAAGACACTTAAATTATAAAGAAAAATAAATTACAAGTGAAGAGAAAAGACTTACTGAATTATGGCAGGCATCACAACACATCATACGACCATAATAAGGGGAAGTGGTATAGAGGCAAAAAATGGTGCATGTGGTATCTCAGAGGTAAGCATTTCTCTTTTTTTTTAAAAGTTGGTGCTTTGATTATATTTTATGTAATATATGCATTCTCAGAACAAGGAAGCAAACTTGGCAAAAGAAATACTCCACGTTCTTAACATTCACACAACATGAAAGTGAACTTCATTAAGGTCCTTGAGGGCATTTTTTTTAAACCTTACCCCAGTCAGCCAGAGGAATGCTTTACTTGACTGTTTTCTTTATGCACGTCTTAAGAAATGATGGTTGACTTTCTACAGGGGGAGAGAGGAGCTCAAGGGCCACAAGGCTTCAAGGTAAGTTGTTGAAGACTTAGCACTTGAACTTAAACTTGAGCATCGATATCAACACTGTCAACAAAATAAGGCTTAAATACATCCTTTATGTCCATTGAGTACCACTTGGTATAGCCTTCCACTGTGTCTGTGCAACAGTTGTTTTTATTGTAGGAAAAAAAAAACAATCTTTCACATACTATAAGTCTTGAGCTAGACAGTGGCCCTTCAAAATGCCAGAGATTATACTGTAGATATCCATTTAGGTGTTTTTGAGCTGTTGTCAGAGGGCATAAAATTTCTAGACACACCAGTGTAATTCTCTTTTAGTAGCGACTGAAGTAGACCTTCACTCCTTTCTGTTGTCGACTTTTATGCCTCTCCAGCAAACCTACAGTTCTACAGTATCCTGAATTGAGAAAGAAATCAAATATATACAGGCTTTCTTTCAGCAGTATATATTCTAGAGTTGCTGTGACAAAAACTAAAATCTCAAGTTAAAACTTGGATGTTTTTCTCTTCCATTTTCCTGCCTACCCCTTAACTCTCCCTCGCCCTTTTTGGTGATGTAACAGGGAAACATAGGGCTGCCAGGGCTGAATGGAGATCAAGGTCCAGAGGTGAGTCTTATACTGTGTTTATCTCGTATCTGCTGTGCCACTTACAGGAGGTCAAACAGAGATGTCTAAAAACCTGCTGATTATAAACAGTGGTGAGCCCTGTACACGGTGAGACGAAGGCTAGTTAAGTTTAGGTGGGAAAAACAATTGGATCCAGTATCTTAGATCATTTGATGTTACTTGCAGAACTTGATCATAACAACTGGCTCAAGACAATGTTCACACCATTTGTTTAACTAGTGTTGGTGAAAGTCTTGTTTCCATAGTAATAATTATAATATAACCAGAGTAACTGGATATTTGTTTGTGGAATATGGAATTGAATGCAAACTTAATATTACGTATTTCACTTTTTACAAGCTAATGCTTAGTTTATCTATGTATTGTAAATGCATTCACTGTAAACACACTCACTGAAATGAATCATTGAGGAAATTTGTATTCCTTTTGAATTACGTTCGTGACAATATTATTAAACGTTTACGGTGATATGTTTTATCCCAGTCATGAAAAGGGGTATATAAAGAGCAGCCAGGATGCTGATGCTTGTATATTACTTTTCTCAGTTCTTTTCATTCAACCTAAGCTCAGTTTCCATGGTAATAGGTGGATCGTTCAGTTCATCCATGCATACAAAGACAATAATGAGTCAAAAGGGGGAATGCATATAAACAGCTGATCTTAAATAACAGCAAGACCCAGATATAAGCTTTTATTTGAAATAACGTGCACGCAAACTTACTGTAATTAACTAACCATGGTTTATTGAAAAGGCATTAGGGGCAGCACTCAAACAATGCTGCTATTTGAAATGCTCTCGAAAGTCAGTGTCTGCAATGTAGCTGGATGGGCTATAACATTTGAAAGCCCAGACTATTTTGTCACCAAACAAAGGGAGAAAATAGCCCAAAGTATTGGTTTTCCTTTGTGTTTTGCCAGGGGAAGCAAGGCCTGCCTGGACAGCCAGGACTCCCAGGCGAGCCAGTAAGTATATTGGCACGAGACACTAGCACTTCATGTCAAGCCTTCCTTTCTCTCATTGCCTTTTCTATCACCTTGCCATATCCTCTACTCTCTAACTCAGTCTGCCAAAATGAAAGAGAGAGATAAACAGATAAACGTCAACAGGCAGAGACAAAGAGGAAATAGGAAGAAAAGTCCAGAATTTTTACACAGACGATCAGTAATCAAATTTAAGAATTAATTAGTGGAAAGAGGCAAATCTATGCTCTTTATGCCAGGAACGGAGGCAGAGGCACAATCTGTTCTCCACACCTGCTTCGGTAATGAGCATCTGTCTTTACTCAAAAGCAGGGAGGGAAAAGAGGCATTTCATAAATCCTGGCTAAGGGAAATTATGTTGGAACACGGCAGCCCGCTGAAGCAGTGAGGAGGAGGAGATAAATGTGTGTGAGGAGATGAAGGCCTGGTGATAGATGTGTCTCTTTTCACCACTATTTACAGGGCTCGCCAGGGGAGCGAGGGAAAGATGGCCTAAAAGGAGAAAAGGTAAGTAAACTTCAAATCAAGTTCTCACCTCAAAGAAAAATATGAAGCTATGATGTTTTATCACAGGTTGAACATGCTAGACAACTTGTGAAGACACCTTTCAGATTATTCGCCCTGCATGCCATCCTCGATCATGTTGTAACTTTGTGTTTTTGCCTTTGATGCCTCTGACTAGTCTGTTATTTGTACACAATTTTTGGGGGGGAAAGTAGAAAAGTGCACAGTTGACATGCATATTTGATGGGGTTTGTCACTTGTCAAAATAAACGAAGCTGTACTCAAGACTTCCCACCCACTGGAGTCATTCTGTTACACTCCAGGGCAGAGACATAAACCTAAAGTGCTTAAGCATTCTGCATCCATTCACATTTATAATCCTCCTTTGTCATATTTGCTGTACTGATGCAAGAGGCAGTTCTGGTTGTACATTAATGTGGTAGGCCATGAATAAATCTGTACGCTAAATATGAAGCCAGTGCAAGGAGACAATTAGCTTAGCTTAGCATAAAGACTGGGAGCAGGAGCCAAGCCTTTAGACTTGCTCCATGGTTACACAAAATAAATCTCCTAACAGCACCTCTAAAGCTCAGTAACTAACACATTGTAGCTTGTTTGTTTGATCCATACAAAAACTGAAGTGTTAAAACAACAAGTTGTGGTTTTATTGAGGGTTATGTGCCAGACTATTTCTTGCCCATGAAAAAACAAACAGAACAAGGCTGGAAGTCTACAGGCACACTAACAGTTCTGTAAGGCTGTTCTTTGGCACACTGGTGCTTTTAGTTAAAGGCTACAGTGGCAATGCTAATATGCAGATTTTTTGCAGGGAATAATACCATTGTCACCATCTTCTTTAGTGTGTTAGCTCCCTTACATTTGCTAATTAGCAATGTACAGCTGAGGCTGAGGCCATTTGGTCACAAACTAAAGTATACTAATGGTGCCACTAGAGGAAAAGTCAGTAGGATTCATCCTTTTCCAAAATTTTGTGACAATACATCCAATAGGTTTTGAGATTTTTCAGCTTAGTCTAAAGCAGCAGACCAACCCACCAACACTGCCATATATGGAGCCACATTGCCACACAAAATTTCCTCTTTTGGTAGAGCATTAAAAACATTTAAATGAAATTGTATCCATGACAAGAGTCATCAAATATATTTGGGTCAGGAAACAGAAAGCAGTCACTGCTGTTTCTATCAATTTCCAACCGACAAACTTGATGGTTTTGTAAGGGTCCATGCAGTAGTGCCAGAAGCTGTGTGTTTATTGATATGCAAAATTATCCTGGTAAATGTTGTCTGCCCCCGCTTTATCATCCAGACTCTTCCATGTTCTCCTCCCTGTGTGTAAAACCTCACATCCTTTGCATTGTTGAGATGACAGAGCCAGTCTGACATTTTGCGTCTTTCATTCACTATCTGATTACTGTCTGTCATTCTATCTGAAGGGAGACATTGGTGGAGTGATTGGGCTACAGGGACCTCCAGGTCCTAAGGGTGAGCCTGGAGAGCCTGGAGGTGGATATGTGGTGGGTACCATATTGAGTTTAGACAGTCACTTTCATCTGACCTTGTTGGCTTTGGCCCTCGGGTAACAAGATACAAAAGTAGAAAACTGTTAGTGTTGAACAGGAAAACAACAGAAGAATTCACAAATCAGATCATCTGCAAACACCTAGAACAGCAGGAGATATGTTAAAGGAAACTAGCTCCTCCAGCTGTGTATCTGCCATGACATTATGGAGATGCAATACCATTAAGTGATCCACCATTGGATAACCCCAGCACTTGGTAATCACCTATCCTCCCATTTTGGAGCTTATAGCCATTGAAGCACTCTCTTTTATGGACATGGCTTTGCATATAGAAATGTTCATTACAGCTTCACCAAAAAGGCGGTGCATGTGCAGCCAAGGCCTCAGTCCTGGTTGACGGCACTTGCACTCCTCAATCACGGGCAAGTGCTATTCGGCTTTAAACAATCATGTTTGTTTGTGTGTGGAAATGCTGCACTGAACATTAAGCCTGACAGCAGGCCTACTCATCAAGCAAGGGGGTACTGTGTTCAGTTGAGCAGAGTAATAAGGGAAAGATTGCACTCAGGCAGAAGTATTTAAACCTCTTTAATGTACTCCAGCACTGTGAAAATTGAAGCAGGATTGGGCTATATGTGTGCATGTAAGTGTCAAGGGGAGATGTTTACAACAGGCCAGTGACCTCATAGTTCAAAAGCTAAACAAAGTGAGATTTCTATTGTAGCGGACGTCCTTTTGCATAGATCCTAATAGTCTTTTACGAATGTCATCTCTGTCTTAAGGCATTCGAGGTAAATGGATTCTCAACATTTTATGGTCTTTGTTATGTAAGACAAAGACAAGGAAAAAAGCAATAAACAGAACTCAATGCAGATGGTCTGAGTAACTTTAATGAGTCAGCCTGCTCGAGTAGCTAATGTCACTTTATTGATTTTGCCTTTAAATGAATAATGAGCAATTCACTCTTTGTTTCTTTTCACGTTTATTTTTTGCATAGATTAGCAATCTCCCACTGGTTTTTAAAAAGTAGAAAATGCAGTCTTAGGATCATAGTATTTGTCTCCAAAAGTTATGTTCTTTTCAAACTTTTCTCTCTTTTATGTTTGAGTGAATTGGTACATTTCTCCCTAAAACTGTAGAAATGCTGTGTTAGTTCAAATCCAACTTGTGCACAGCTAATTTACATTGTGCAATGTAGGACTTGTAACACTAATACATGCTGACCACAGAAATCAATGTCTCATCCGAACTGCACAGTAAATAATGCTTACAGTAGCCTCGATTCCAATCAAGGTTTTTCTCCGTGGCATGGCATTATCAGTCTCCCTCTGTACATAGAAACTATTTAAAATGTTGTAATCAGTATTGAACAGGAGCTCATAATGCAATGCTGTATTCATTCAGTGTTTGCACTGTGGACCGTAGCACGTACAGATTCAATGTTCCTGTTTAAATTCCAGCACTAGAAAACCTTTTTTTGTTGCACCTTAGGTATCAAAGTGAATTGCTGATGAATGTGCAGTGAATCCCTACTCTGATGTCTTCTTCCTGTTGTTTTGTAGGGCAATGGATTGTCTCTAACTAGAGGGTCTCGCGGGCCCAAGGTAGGAAGCGCTGTGGTGTTGGAGCATTGCCAACACAACCATCTATACAGCCCACTATGTTAACTTCTGCAGATAGATCAGTGATATGTTTTATTTTAAGTAGATAAATCAGTGTTGTGTTAGATGAACTCCAGCTCCTTCATCAACACCACCCGACATGTTCCAAATATGTTCATTTTAAATCACTTTAAGCTGAATGTTATTTAAAGGTCCAGTGTGTAGTATATAGTGACATCTTGCGGTGAAGTTGTAGACTGCAACCATTTGTATACAGCTCAGCCTCCCAAGCATGTAGGAGAAACTGTACTACATGCTTTATCTAGCTATCTATTTCTTGGCTGCTGTAGAAACATGGTGATTCAACATGATGGCCTCTGTGGAAGAGGACTTGTTAAAAAGATAAAGATAGATAAAAATTCCACTCATTCCACAGCAACAAAAACACAACAATTCTTATTTTCAGGTGACTATATGAATATTATATTCCATTTTCCAATAGATCCTCTTTAATGTTACACACTGGACCTTTAAGACTATTAATTGTATAAAAGTGGATATTGTTAGCCTACAGTAAGTCAGTGTAGGTGGTTTGAACAAGTTTGCATTTGTTTATCCATCACTTTAAGCTAACAACTGTATTTCAACTTTTTATCTATTACTTTTAAATATCTACTTCAACCATATATCCATAATGTACCCCTGGTTAGGAATCACTCAAGTAGATAATACCACTCAAATAGCTCAAGAGTTTTCTGACAATATTATACTGAGTTTAGTAGCAAATTCTGAAAATACTGCACTAATGAGCCCCCAATTATGTGTTGTCATGTCAACGGTACATTTGAATATACTGTGTCAAAACACAAGCATAAGTTCAAATAAAGTAGATAATGAACATGTGCATGCATTGGCCTTGAACATAGTTGTGTTTCTTTCCCTTGAAGCTAAAGGCAAAACATAAAGGGAAAATGAGTTCCGGCAGAGTCTGAATGCTTAATGATCATGCAGTGCAGCCGCTCCCCATGACTTCTGGTTTCACTATCACTGAAACCCCACAGACTGCTCTTTTGTCTTTTTGTCAGGGTGAGAGAGGTGTCCCGGGATTGCCAGGAGACCATGGTGAAAAAGGCGAACCTGGAGAGAGTGTCATAGGCCCGGCTGTGAGTATGATGTTGTATTGATTGGTCTGTGTCTCCAACATTCATTATTGTGTTCAAACTATGATACCTTCAGACGATTGTCTTTAGGCATTGTAAGAAAGAGATCCTCTCTGAATATTAAGATTAGTGTTCATTAAATACACTTGCAGATGAAATCGCTGATCATTACTGTGAGGTTCTGGCGTATTGCACTCTGCCTTCATCACATACGCTCTGCACCGATAGTTTGAACCTCACAGATTTGATTGTGAGTGAGCCTGCTTTCATTTTTGAAATACAGGATTGTTGGAGACAGAGAATCAATAGAGCAAAAGGTGTCTAACACAATTCCTTTATTGGATGCTGGGTGCTAGAGGGCAGATGGTGTTAACAAGATGTGTGATGTGTTCTTAGGGCCCCATGGGACTTACAGGAAAGCCAGGAAGCCAGGTTTGTGGAAAATTCTCTGGGTCCACAACACACAAACAGCATGTTCAAGTATATTTTAGCTGATTTTCGCCTCTTTGGAGCTGTGACCAGCGATCTTGCAATTATTTTACAATACAAACAACACTCTGCAGTGTTTGTCACTTGTTAGCTGGCTATATAAGGCAAGAATGTTAAAATCATCGGAGTGCCTGGGTTTTTTTTTTCAGGGCCCTCAAGGACCCCCAGGTTTTACTGGCCCTGTTGGCCATCCAGGACGAGAGGTAAGTGTGATCAGCCTGCCCTTTCACTTATTCATTCCCTTAAACATCTGCAGATAAAATAGGTCTGGTAGCATAAAAAAATGTCAACTAGACTACCCACTGTGGATGAGCAACTACGACGTATCACAGCTCCTGGACACAAATCCCCACCAACTGAGATGGGTGTGAAAGCAGAGTTATAGCCTTACAAGTCTGCTTGATGTTGTAGCCAGGAGGATTTTAACTCATTTCTTTGTCTCAATTAAAGGGACCCCCTGGTAGACCAGGCCCCCCGGGCCCTGCTGGACCCCCAGGTGAACCAGTAAGTAAAAAAAAAAGCAAATCTATTTTTTTTATTTTTGTAGTTCACACCCCTGGTCTGCAATAAAAACTACGGAGCTCACCTCAAATTCAAAGTCCGTATTCAGAGAGCAGCTCAAGTTTGCGGATAATTAGCAGCTATTCCTGCTGTTCACTAACCAACATCACTTTCAGGAAGATGTTGCCATTTACGACAAATTGGCAGCACCCTGTTGTTAGCACATGTTTTCATGTCTTGTGTCTTCGTGTGTTTAGAATAAGGAACATTTACTGTAGTTCTGAAAGCTGTAGTGTATGTAGTACAGTAAATTTAACATTTTAACCTTTATATTCATATGTTGTAAAGAGCCAGGCAAACTATTTATTGTCCATTTTATGTTTAAAAAAAAACCACATGGACTACAATTCAAACCCTTTTTCTCAACTCCAGAGAACAACAACATTTTAAAGATGTGAGGATTCTGACTTCCAGCAACAAAGTTATTAAATCGTTTCCTCAAGCGTTGCAGATAAAAACTGAAAATGAAACACTGAAACAGGAATTTGTTAAAAATGTTTTGTGTGAAATCACATTCCTTAAAGGCATATAAGATGATCTTATAAATTGATGTTTTGAGCAATTTACAAGATGCAGTTCCACCAAACAAACAGCAGCAAAATATTTCCAAGAAGATTTGTTAGACTGTGGAAATGTCTCATGGATTTTCTTTCTTCCTTTTTTGACAGACTGCCCTGCCAATTGTTGGAGACATGGGTGCTTTACTTAAGGTATTTTATCTTCATAGTTAATGATAATTGCAGCTTTTCACAAGCTTTTCGCACAGTAACATGCAAAGGGGTCCCTGAGTTTGTGTTTAATAATGATCAATATTTGTTCATTTCAAAGGGTGCTATTCTTTTAATATATGGATGCTATCAGCTAACAGAGATAGTAAAAGCCCTCGAGTGCCTCCATCAGGATGACTGGGAGAAGTATCTGTTGAAAGTACATTCAAATAATCTCACCAGAAGGCCTGGTTTAGTCATTCACCACGGATGTTTAATAGCCTTTCAATACAGATAATGGAATATAGAAATATCATCCTGTGTTAGATCAACCACTATGAAACCTGTTATGCATCCCAGTTTTAAACATGCTATTCTGTATATTTCAGATCCCATGCAAAACCAAAAAAACCTAAATAAGAAAAGCCTAGCTCTCACTTCTTTTACCTCTAAACTGGCTTAATTTAATTTCCTCTGGTAGATTTCCCCTGTCAGTTAAACCTTCACCCCCCGTTACAAAACATTGAAGCATTTGGTGAGAATGCTAAAACACTCTTTCAAACTAAATTTCACAAGTCTGGTCCCAAAAACCACCAGACTCACAGCTTGTATCTTTATTTACTCAAACTGTGTTATTTTGGGTTCCTTTTTCCATCAGTTGGTACAAACAGCATTCTGGGTCCCTTTTCTGAACAAATGCAGAATTTGCACTGGGACCGCAAGACTAAACATATAGTGAAACACATTATTATCTGAGATCACAGAGTGAAAAGGGAGATTGAGTCCTTCTTTTGTGGCTGTTACCTTTCAAAATGAGCATTTTCTATATGGAAATGACTGATTTTTTCTTTCAATTGAAGCAGATTAGTAACATTACTTAATTATAATACCTGCAGGATAGCACTTCGCCAAATAAAGCTTTTCAATTGTTAATACTTAATGCACGTCAACTCTGATAATAAATATAATGTCTTTTCTTGACTAGTCATTGACAGATTGAGCTGTATGCCAGCAGTCTCATAATTGTTTCTCACCCCTTCTGTGTCTTATTAGACTTATTTTCTCCATTAAGTGCTCTGTTAAATTGGGCTACTATTTTATGACTTGTCTGTTTTATTTTGCTGCCTTTGTGAAGCACTTCATAACGTGCATTTTGAAAATTGCCCTATAAATAAAGGTTATTATTATTATTACAGCCTTCAACAGAGTTGGTTAGTGGCACTCTAATTAGTACTTTCGACACCTTGATGGCACCTGCAGAAAATGACTAGACACATTTAATAGTTATTTCACTCTTTTCATTCATCTCAGTAATAACGATAATTCTTTTTATTTTGTTTAATTGACTAGATTTATTTGGACTCTTGGAAGATAATTAGATGACAAGGATGTACAGATTATTTTCCATTTTGTATTTCAGACTCAGAATTAATGCTGCTTTTTAATAGTGCACTATACCTATTTCTACTGCTTCTCTCCAACTTAGAGCTCCCACCTACCTATTTCCTGGAAGGTACAGTGCCTATATCTAGACTGGATCGGGGACAATGATATTTAAAATTCACACCTAAATGTCACAGTCAATGAGTTTGACAAAGTTCACCCCTCTCCTAGATGAGAGACACTCTTGGTGGGTTCACACTATTTCTGCTCAGCAGACATTTAGAGAACACTTTGTGTCAGTTGGGGTCTTGTCCTCCACCCAGGGGATGTGACATAATAAAGGGCGAAAATGCAGTGCTCCAGCTCAGCTTGATGAAATCTTATCTGTGCCACCACTTTTCCTTCCTGCTTTGCCTGTGTTGGCAGAATGCCTGCAGTGTGTGCCAGACGAAAATCCCAGGGCTTCCTGGGCAGAAAGGAGAGAAGGGGTCCCCCGGAGCACAAGGAGTAGAAGGCCTGGTGGGAGAAAAGGTACAAGCGACTCAACAGCATGACAGGCAATTTGGAACCAACACTGTAAACATGTTTATCTGATCATGATGCTGTGCATTACATGACACTTGTTACATTTCCTCTTGGGGTTGCCTATTAAATACGTTGAGTGCATGTCTGCTTACACCCATATTCATTGTGTATTTCTACCCTAAACAGGGAGATCCAGGTGTTAGAGGTCCTATGGGTAACCCTGGGAAAGAAGGCCCAAAGGTAGGCAAGGAAATGCCAGGCGTAAATATACTCAGTACATAATAAAACAAATTTTTATTATATTATTGTTTTTGTGGATCCAAATGAATTATTCAACTTCTCAGATGACAAAGAGTCTGTAAATCTAATAGCCTCATTAAATGATATTGTTTATTTAAAATGTCTTTAATCTAGTATATAGGGATTTACATTGACAAACGCGTTTCATAAATTACCTTTTGGATTATCTCTGGAAGCCTAACCAGCTGTTCCACAACTCATATTATTCTGTACTCTCTTACTGTATGTGCTCGCTGCGGAAGTTGTTGCTATGGATACTGTGTTGTACCATGGTGAAACGGGCTAGTGTGATTTTAAGTCGTGTGCTGTAAGAGGGGAAGAGGCAGTTTGAAGTTTACACCCATCAGCCTTTAGTTTTAGGCCTTTTCATGTTTGGTGGAAAAACATTCATTTTTACCTCTCTTTCCTGCAGGGAGTAAAAGGAGAGAGAGGATTCCCAGGCCCTACAGGAGATAAAGGTGATGAGGTGAGTTTAATCTAAACAAATTAATCCAGTAGTTATCTAACAATCCGGAAGACACTGTGACATTGAGAGGTAGGTTTTTCAAAAGAATGTAAATATATTGTAATGTCTTCCCTGATCTGAAAGTCTGTCTCCTCTAAAAGTCCATTAACAAAAGAAGATATCAAAAGCTATCCACAGTGCTGCGTGTATACTATGCCCTATGTTTTGCACTCTGAGGAGCTACTTTATAAAGAACGTATCCTGCCCAGCTTGTTTGTGTGTGCTAATTAAAAAACAAAGCACGAACTGAGAAGCATTTCATAGGTCAACTTTCAGCATTGAACTGCAATGGCAGGAGATTTTCGCTAACAGGCACAGTTGTTTCTAGGTTTTATAGGCTCAATAAAAACATGTTTTATAGCTCTAACGTACAACAAACAGCACAGAAATGTCTTACATAAACTAGTTAATAAAGATGCTGCATGTTGAAATGTTTCACAGTTTGTGCATATTCAATGATCCTATGAAGATAAGAAAATATGAACATAATCCCAGTAGTCATTGCAGTGAATAGCTTTCTAATTCATCCTCTACAGTAGAGTTGCAAGTTCTATGTGTTGTATTATTTCATCTATGCTTGTTGTTGCTAATAGATGGAAAAACCACTCCAGGCATCAAGAAAACAGGTTTAATAAGACCAATAAATTACACCTTACTCCTTGGAGTACCTGCTTAGGTGATGCTCACATCACCTATTTCCATCTCTCATAGATGGAAGTATTACAAATGTAATTACTGATGGTCCACTTTGTCTCCTCCAGGGCCCTGTAGGAGTACCAGGACTTCCAGGTGTGACTGGTCGTACAGGGTCCCCGGTAAGAAGCCTGCCCTTCATGTGGTCTGATATTATACAGAATTATATTGATATTATAATCTTTGATTATTTCAGAACACAAAGTTCATTTTTATGCTAACATATTAACTATTTTATTGCAACATGGGTTTTCTTTATGAGGACAGATTTCACTAAAAAGATGCTGTTCTGTTTGCAGGGGCTTATGGGTAGACCTGGGCCATCGGGCCAACCAGGTGGAAAAGGAGAAAAAGTAAGGTGTTTTATTACTTAAGCAATTCTCTATATAGTGTAGATAGTGCTTATGCCTTCCTGGGTTTTATTTACAGCATACAGTGGATGAATGTGCACACTGTGTGAGTTAATCGAACTTATGACTCTATGTTTGCTATTTCCATGCAAAGTATTGAGATATGTTTAGCTGAATACCATGGCTCAAAGGTTGTAATAAATAAATGGATTTAACTGGGAGTATAAATAACTTTCACACTTTTTTATCATTTTACCAATCCATCACCAAGATAGATTGGTAAAATACAAAAACCAAATGACTCCAGGTCCTGTAATAAAGATGATAAAGATAACATGAAAGTGTAGGAAACCATATCTCTTAAAGGAATCTTTGATTTTGATTTTTTTTCTGGCAAATGAGGTTCCATATCAGTGGATTACATTAACATGGGCCTGTGCTTGATAAACATTTCCTTTTTCACAGACATGTTTTAGAATTCCTCTGGTTTGTGTTTGGCAGGGAAATGAAGGACCATCGGGCAGACCAGGGCTTCCAGGACCTCCAGTAAGTTCCTCCTGCCTCAACAAGAGTCAGATGATGTATCAAAAGCCTCAAAACCGCTGTTAAGGTCTTAAGTTCTATATGTACACTGTATACATTGCAAGTTATTTTGTTACACAAACTGATTTTCTTCATCCTGTTAAAAAAAAAACAAGGTTACTGACTTCTATTCAACACACTTTGACACATTGAAAACATAAACACTTTTTTCTTGCTTTTATCAGCACTATCCAAAGATCTTCTTTTCCCACGATCAAGTAAAGGTTACAGCCAAAAGCTTTCCTTGGCAGCTCTTCATACTCAAATGGCAATCAGTGCACTTATATTTTGCTCAGTCTAACAGTATTTAGTGTAAGAAGAAAAAACATAACTGACAAACAAGTACAAATATGATGAAATTGTGGTGACCTGCTCCCTGGCATTGAATCATGGCCCCTCCCTTTAAAAGGCCAGTGAGTAAGCACTTCCAAAGGCAAATCTATAATTCATCAGCCGTCCCCTTGAACCTGCCGTGCCCCCCCACACCCTGGTCTCATAAACTGCAGTCTGGGAGGACAGGGGATGGCTCAGTGGCCTGAAAAGGGCACAGGCGTCTGCTTGCTTCTAAATGAGAACCTTGACTCCTTCTACATTCACAATAGTTGCCCTCTACCAATCTATCATGGGAAAAACATTCTCTTATGCTCTAATACTACCCAAGAAGTCTAGATTACCTAGTTCTCATACCCGAATCTCTTTTAATCAGCGTGCTCTTTCGTTTTTCTGAGATACTCTTGTTTTTTGAATTACCACTGGCTCAAGGATGACTAAGTCTACTATTCTCTGTTTGTCCTTGTTCTTTTCACTTCTCACTCTCTCACACTCTCTTCCCCTCTCTTTGTGTAATCACCAAATGAGCTATTGATCTCTCTCATGTAGCTTTTAAGGGCTTAACAGTGTATAACTGCTCCAGACCTACTGTACAGTTTTCTGTGTAGACTCTTGGTGCCTAAAACTCACAGAACAGTGATTTACTTTTGATTGTGTTTTAGGGTGTACCGTATGTGGAGACCACGGGGATGAGCAGTCTGTACAAGCTGCAGGTAGAAGCTTTACAAAAGACTTTAACTTTAGTGATAATATCATTGTGATGCATTGAATAGAGTTCCTTCAATCATATTTCCAGGAAAGTATCTGTGCTTGTGGTTAAAGTGATTGACCTATATCGTCAAATATACAGTCATAACATAGGAAAATGTCTTTTCAGAGTGGTGGAGCTATTTTAGGACCCCCTGGAGCTCCTGGTGCACCGGTAAGCATAATCATTGTTATGCCTGAAGCAAATCCTTTACTGTGTGCTGTGGAGGAACACTCGCACACAGGCTTGTTGATACTGTATGAGGCGCAGAACCTGGGAGAGCTGAATAACAAATAAGCTGACCAGTGTTATCTCAGCTTCTGGGGCCCCATCACAGTCAATCATGCTCATTGAGAGCTGGTGGTTGCTGAAGGCCAAGAGGCTTCCTGACTCTCAAACAGGTGTCTCTGAACCCTCCCCAGGACACACAACATCACTGATATGCAGAATGGACTTGGAAGTTCAGTTGCTCTGCACGGTGCCAAGACCAAGTGACCCGATCTGCTTATCAGCTCCCCCTGCTACCCCTTATCAGACAGTTTGTAATCTGGTCCAGGAGACATTCACTCACAGGCCTTGCAGGGATCCATCCACCACAACGAACACTAAAGGTGGTGACATAAAATAGACACTCCAATGTCCCCAGTGCATAATGCCCATGAACCACAGCTAAATCTTGAGGATGCTTTTCCCTGTACTGCATCCATCACAGCCCAACAGCTCCTCTGGAGGAATCAGTGAGAGAGCATCTTCATCAGTGTTAAGAGCGACAAGGGGCCCAATTTATCAATTATTCCTTCTTTGTGTTTAGTGTGGAAAAACACTGAAATGCTTTACTGGACATTTAAACATGCATGGCAAGTGTTTAGAAATCCTGTGTTATACCCAGACTGGATTATATGATCCTGATCATTTTAAATCTTGCTTCTGAAAGACTACAGTTACATGATGTAAGCATGATTTACAGATCGAAATCGCGAGAAAAGAGAAGCAATAATGAATACCATTAATTTTAATGACAATAACATGCAGTAGCCACATGTCGTGTTGTACTATATTTATGATTTGTGTGGTAGAGGTTGTCGCATTCATGTGATTAATCTGTGTTTTTCTCTCTCTTTTAAGGGTCCCAAAGGAGATCAAGGACCCCCAGTGAGTTGAAGCTTTTCATTCTGGAAGATATTTTGTATCAAATATTTGTCTATTTTCGGTCCTGTCCAAAAAATAGAGAAGAAGGATAGTTCCCAGTTGCTTTCTATCATTGTCTATGTGGTTCGCTACAACATAAGTCAATACACCCTCAAGCCTCAGCACTTAACCACTATCAGTAGAACTCCAACACACAGCAAAAAAATGATCATGTCTCCTGCAAATATGTAACATTGTACCATATTGTCTTGCCAGTGGGAACCTATGAACGCTCTCTGCCTCCCCCCCCAATACTGTCCCCGAAAACAATCCACACAGACGTGGAAACAATTCCACGCTTCTGCCATCAACTTGAATTCTTTATTCCCACGGGGCCAATTGCATTTTTTATTGTTTTGTTGCACAGTGATTTTTCACCAGGATGCTAATTTGACATTTTAATAAATTGTGTGAGCAGCTCCAGTGCTGTGGTGGAATTGCCCCAATCCGTCTCACAGCTGATCCTCTGGCTGGCCCACTCTCCCCTTAGCCGCACTCGCTTATTCATGACAATCTACATGTGTGACAATTACCTGCACAATCCGTCTATGTCAGCACCGGTTGCCCCTCTATTCTGTGTAATGGCATTTCTCTGTGGCAGCTCGAGCAAGATGAGGTAGATAGAGGCCATCACTTGCTCAAGCACTGGGAATGGGTCTCTATTTTTAGTGCAGAAAGCAAGTCTGATTGTGCTTGTCAAATGGGGCTCTTTTTCTATCCCATCTGTAGCCTACAAGGTGTGACAGCACGTGTCAAAGATCATATAATATAATACACTCAGGTTGAAGTATTGTCCTCTTAGGATTATCTTCATATTGACACATGAAGGGCTGTACTAATACCTGACTGAGAATATCAAGAAGGGAGATGGAAATGTGTGAAATCTTGGATTCTGCAGAATTTAATTTACTCGCCTTCATGTAGCTTTCATCTGTATTTGCTTGTTTATGCCTAATGTTTACTGACAGCCTTATAATGACACTTTTTACCTTCTGGTAGCTCATCACCTCACTCGTCCTCCTATTGAGGACTGTGTAGACAAAAATAGCATAATTCTTTGTTGAAGAAAGGGTGAACCAACAAACCTTAGTCTACATCAGAAGTGACTTTTTTGTCTTGACACAGCAGGTGGTGTGTTTTTCTCTCACAGGGGGAACCAGGGGCCATGGGATTACCCGGGCTTGAAGGGCTACCTGGTGCCAAGGTAAGCAACAGTTTCAGCTGCTATGACCTAACCTGATTACAAAGTGAGGGAAAGTGCTTTCTTTGTACTTTATTCTCTTTACAGAACATTTAAAGAGTTTATGTTTGAAATGAGAATGATAATCCAGATAAAATGATTGCCAGTGAGAAAGTGAAACATTATTTGTTCCCATTGAAGTTATGAGTCAACTTAAAGGGAAAAATAATTAAATCACTATGGTTTCTTTGAAATATTGGCTGAAGGAATTTCAGCTTAAAACATCTGAACTGTATATACAGTAGCACCACAGCAATTTGTAAGTAAAGCCCTCATGTAAAAGTGAACCATTTGCACAATGACGTGCTACTATTGGACACATTTTCCTTATATTGGAACAAAATTAGCCCTGCATCCAACTTTTCACCACTTTCAACTGCTAAATCTGTATTAAAAGTTGCCAGTGATTGATGTGTTTGTGTGTGTGTGTGTATGTGTGTGTGTGTGTGTGTGTGTGTGTGTGTGTGTGTGTGTGTGTGTGTGTGTGTGTGTGTGTGTGTGTGTGTGTGTGTGTGTGTGTGTGTGTGTGTGAGTGAGTGGGGGGAGGTTAGTTTCTGTGACTTCCAGAGTAATTCATCCTTTAGGGGAGTGCTGTCAAAGGTGTGACATATGCAAAGTGTTTGCTGTTAAAATATGAAGAAGACTTAAGTTCATAAGGAGGGTTATTTATCATAACTCCCTATTTCTGATTTTTCTGTGTAGAAACTTAGTGTTTTTTGGCATTGCATTTGTCCAAACAGTGTGGAGATCGGGAGCATTCATTATACCCAGGTTCAGGCAGTTTCTGATATCAGTATCTGTGTGTCTGCTTGACATGACAGTGATTTATGTGTATTCTCTATGTAACGTGCATGTCATCTATCTGACACGTCTGCAATGTTTCCTGCAGGGTGATATTGGTTTGACTGGTCCTCCTGGGCAACTAGGTCCTCCAGTAAGTGAGATTATTTATTTATTTATTTTCGATTAATTTACTCCTCATACTCCTCCTTGATCAATCATCTGTGTTGTTTCAGTCTGCTGCTGGCAACAAGTCAATGATGTTTCATAAAGTACACAGAATAGCAGCTATCAAAACACAAGTCCCATAACACAACACTACTTCAATTAAGAACTTGGATATAAACCTGTGGTCCGTTGTGGATTTTCTGTGCAGTTATAGACTGGTTGGTTTATTATAAATGGGAGGCTGCAGAGGTGCTGTAGATACGACACCATTGTGAACCTGTCAAACACGGTCTGTTCTCTTCCTATGTTTGTGATTGACAGGGGAAGCCCGGCACTCGTGGAGAGCCAGGGATCCCAGGAGAGCCGGTGAGCCGCAGCCTCTAACTCTCTTTGAGCTGTCAATCCACGTGTCATTCCTTTGTCACTGTCGACTGACACATCGGCTGTCTCTGTTCTCTGACAGGGTGAGAGGGGGCCGCTCGGAGAGACAGGATTCCCAGGACCCGAGGGACCCCAAGGTGTTCCTGTAAGGATGCAAGGATGCTACATGAATTCTGTTGCTCTTCCCTATATAATCACTACTAGATGATGCCAAAGCACTGTCCAATAATATCCAGTCTGTAGGGCTTTGAATAGCTCTTTTACATTAGCAGATTTATCCATGGTTGTACTATTGTATGGGGAAAGGAAGAACATGATTCAAGGATAATATGGACAAAATATGTATGTTAGCGACCACTTGTCCTGTAGATGATTACATTCCTCTATGTAATTACCATCAGAGATGGTTTCTGTAATTTTCCCTGTAAGCACACAATGGAACAGTGTTCGCACAGCAATCAGGATCATTATCCCTTGGTTGAGATATCTCATTAACTGTGGAGATTACTAGGAGTGCAACAGTGCTGATCCAATCGAAGGTGGGAGCTGATATACAAAATGTCTTTGTTTGTGTTGCACTTCTTGAGCAGGGGAGACCTGGAAAAGATGGAACTCCTGGATACCAGGTGAGTTGTGCGAACACGTTGCAAATCCCCTTATAGAAAGTGCTTTACATCAGCCGAGCTACAGAAAGATGGCACAGCAGATTTTTATCCCCCCCCAAGCTACAGCATCCTGAGTGCATTAAAGCCATTTGCATATTTGAGATTTTAACGATAAAAACTAAATGAAATACTGCAGATTTAAGGCTTTGTTGACTTTTAGTCTTTTTACCCAAATTATACAGTTAATGCTTTCAGGCAATGATAAAATGTTTGTAATAGAGGGCAGTAGACACTTAGATTAAATATGCATTTTCCTGCCTGATGAACCTGGTTAAAATTGTAACAAATACAACAGCAAAGTCTGCTTTTAGGTGACTGATCAAATATATTACACACTGTTTACTACATAATCACACAGAATGGGCTCACAGCATGCAGAACAGATCTGCTATTGATAGCCATTCATAACACATTATACAGTCGAATACTAAACTGGTTTGACTACGAGTATCGCTGTTTTGCTCTCTAATTTACAAGATTTTTGTCACCTAACACCTCAACGACTGCCCCTGCAGTTTATTGTTTTCTTCTTATTATTATTAGTTAATATTCTTTCACCAGAATCTCAACATTGCATAGAGCCCTTCTACAGTTTTATCCTCATGTCTTTCTGCAAATGGTGCCTGATTTTGTTTGGTGGGGCAACAGTGCCATCTAGTAGGTGGCTTTGCTCCCCTAGCCAGACTCCTTGCACACTGCTTTGAGATTTAATGTAATGCTCAGGGAAGCACATTTCAGTGGGCAAGATGATAGATTTAAGCCTCCCATCAGGCATTGGGGAATACAGAGCACTGCAGATTAAAGCAGGCAGGGGAGAACAGCATCACAAAGAGTTGCCCGCTTTAAAACCACATCATGCCAGATTGTCTTTTGCATGGCTCCTGTAATCCAGCAGGAAATTGATACAAAAGATGCTCCCAGAGGAATTGCTGTGAGCACAGTAAAGGGAGGCAATGAGGAGTGACAGGGGGGGATTGGAAGACACAAGATGTTGTGACATGAAGTCAGAGACAGGTATTTTCTCTCCCAGCTCCTCCATACAGTACAGACAGCTGGTGGGAAAGCATCTCAAATGAAAACAGGAGTGATGCAGAGAAGCTGTGACATTGCAGAAGGTGAAACACTATACAGGGAGATATTATACAAGCAATACACCTGAGCTGAGTAAGAAGCAATCAATGCACAGTCATCTGAAAAGTGTACGTTTCTCAAAGTCAAGTAATTCAGGAAAAGCTTACTCGCAGTTCTTTTTTTTTTTCTTCAGGCAACAGAACAGAAACTTCTGCAAATATCAGAGTAAATATGAGCAATATGCCAATATGGAGAGCTTAAATAATAGAAACCTCTGCTTCATATGTACTGATTAGAATAATAGAGTGTGTTGTGCGTGCTCCTGCATGTTACTGAACATCAACAGTGTGTATTGGGTGAAAAGCTTAGGCATCAGCATGATTTTTTTTTGCAATTATTCAGAGGTTACTTCTTTTTTTCTGTGACAACAAAGCCTTAAAATACATGTCTCTGTTTTTTTCCTAAGGGAGCTACAGGTAGAACAGGGGACAGAGGATCCAAAGGAGAGCGTGTAAGTAGCATCATTCCTGTTTTCCTAAAAAGAAGCTGTTTTTATGACTCAGACTATAATGCAAGGTTTTGATGAATTGTAATGAAAGTCTTCACTTCAGCACAAATATGACTAATCCCCACAAGCACATAAGCATTAGATAAAGGCATTTAACGCTCAGTGCAGTTTCCTATTGTATTTGCGAGGCAAAATTAAAGAGCTCTGTCACACTTCTGCTGTAATCTATTGCAAATAGAGGATGCAAAATGAGGCTTTTAGCTTTATAGTTGGCACCGGAACCTCAGGACAGGTGACTGACTGGACGCATTAGGAGAAATGGGTCAATGTGCTCAGCATGTTAAGTGATACAATTGGGTGTGAGTCAGGCTTGAAAATACTGACCATGGTGCTATGAATGCCAACCAGGAAATGTAGTTTTGATTGTTATATTGTGCAGGTTGTAAACTCAACCTGATCTAAACAGTTCAGTCGGTACTGCATCATGAAGCGCTGAGATATGTCTGGTTATGCAGGGTGATCCTGGGATTCCTGGAGAGAGAGGTGTTCAAGGCGAGAGAGGTCGCATAGGAGATCCTGGCCCTATTGGACCCATCGGAGTGGTCGGACAAAAAGGCGACCCTGGCCCTCCGGGACAGTTGGAGAGTGCAAACCTCTTGGTAAGCAGTACATTCACCTCAGAGCAAACAAAGACTATCCTCCCAGATTATTAAAACCTTAATCATCCTACTTCCTTTCTGAGCTTGTGTAACTAGTTCAGTTCTTGTTCCCCGTATGGAAAAATGGTGCAGCTACAGATTTCTGCATGAAACATCAAACAAGGCTGTGCAAGGGAGGTTACTGTTCTCTTTCTGCTCAGCGCTTCCCACTCCTCATCTAGGCGCCACAGAGGGTCAGAGAGGGAGAGAGATGGAGACAGAGAGAAAGACAGAGATATGTGGGCGTGCCTAGAGCTCTGCAGAGCAGCAAAAACACCTCCGTGTGTCACAGGCATTTTACACATACTGTATGCAGTCACAACAGTTATATAACATTCGCAGCAGAGATGAAAAGCTGTTTTGAATGCAATGATTCAAGGTCCAAGGCTACTCTTGTTTGCCACTGGTGCAGCCGTGGAAAGCTCTAACAGTGTTTGTGAAAAAGGTTGACATAAAACCATGTTATTTTGGGTTTCTGAAACCGTGGCAGAGCATATATTGTCATATATTTACCTAGAAAATACATACATTTAGAGGCATACAGAGCTGCTACACTTTCCCTCTTAAGCACAAAGTGCATTACTACAGAATTAGACATAAAGTAACATCAAGAAGTCTCTTTATAGAGTTATAATATCTAATTTAATATTCCCCTACTGATCCATTTTATTGTAACCGGGTTTAAGGCGCAGATGTTATATTATTATAATGCAAAGTGGGATTTCACTGAATCGTTAGAAAAGAGCTGAAAAATATGAATTTTAGCAGTGATCTCTCGTCCCAGCCCTTGTTTGCTGCACAGATGGTTTCCACAAACAGTGTGTTGATATACATGTCAGGTATCCATTTGATTTTCATGCTGTGATAACTACTGTATCTTGTCTGCTGTCAGTTCACTATGAATGAAAGATGACTTACTGTTGTTTCTTTTTGTTCAAAATGTTTCACTGAAGTTTCTATTCCTCTCCACCACACGCACAGGGTGATCCTGGCTTCACGGAAGAACTGAAAATGTTCATCAGAAATGAAGTTTTGAGGATCTTTGAAGGTACAAATTCTTCCAGATTTATTCAAAATGTTTTCTTGCCATCTTTTTACCACATTCTGAATGTTAATTTTTATTTTATTATATTTTTCGTACTCTGTAGAGAGGCTATCGAGCGCTGCCATGCTGCAGAAGACTCCTGCAGGCATCTTAGCATCACAATTCCAAGGGCCTCCAGGACCTCCTGGCAATGACGGATTACCAGGCACACCAGGAGAGCCTGGACCTCCTGGTCCTCAAGGTAGGAGCTCAGGCTGCCAGACAGAACTATGGACACTAACACAAACCTCAGGAAAATAACCCTTTCTGTTAAAATATGTATTAGAAATAACACTCTTAATCTATGAGTGCTCAAAACTATTCAACTATTCACTCCTGGTGAAACTTAATTAACCCACTGTTGCCTGATAGAATTGTAATCTGTGTGTGTGGCCACACCGTATGTCTACGCCTCATTGGTGTTTAAATATACCAATTAGTCCAACCATATGCTGTACAACTCGTGTATTTAAAGGAGGCCTCAGAGTGAAGTGCAACAGCCTTCAGCTAAAGATGTTATTCTGAATGTAAAGAGTTGGGATGAAACAATTTGAGATTGGCTGGATTGGGGTGGGGGCACCAATGTAGGTTGTATTTTGTAGGGATTCATGGGTATTTTTCTCTTGCTTAGACCCATATATCAATGCAGACTGAGGGGCGGGAAGCAGAGGAAAGGCCAGGAGTGTGGTGTGCAGCGGCTCTCTGGGAAATATGAAGACAAACGGAAGAATTGGCTGTGAATAAGAGAAAGTGTTATCAATGTGGACAGGAAAGAGCCCCAGTATTGATACCTCACTCCAGGAAAGAAAGCTTCTAAAGTACAAAAGGAGCATAGTCAGGAAAGAGGGTGGACGTTCTTTATCAAACTGATACAACTTCCTGACTGCTCATTCAACACTAATGGTTCGCTGGTCAGGCTTTATACCTCAAACTTGCTTAGATTTGTATTGTGTCCGCAACAGAACTATGGTATCCTAACTTTTGAAGAGGAGGAGTGTGTTGCGTCTTGGTGCAGATCAAAGCACCACTGCATTGGCCTTTCTCTTTGAGCTTTGTATCTACCTCACATTATTCAAGACCATTTACACTTTAACCCACTGCTATAATAATATAAAGTGCTGCTTTCATTCATGAATAATGTAGTGAAAGTAGGCAACTACTCGCCTATAAATATTTGTGCTGTGTTAATGCCATTTGCATTACACATGTCTTGGACTCTGTGTAGCTTGTTTTATTTTTTTATGCTTCAAAAGAGTGTTTTATAGGTGATTCTTAATGCAGCTTTGCAATAAATATTTATTGAAAATAAACAGCAAAGTTATTTCCCTTGATAAATCAAAAATTCAACAACTTCTTAATTTTTTCATTGTTGACTCGTGCCTCCATTCAGCTGGGGAGAGAGTTTGGGGTAATATTTCCTCATTATTTCTTGTCATCCTCTGCTGGAGACTGTGCTCCTCTGGAATATCCAATTTGACTTCTTCTCCAATATGCCAAAATGAATTGTTTATGGAGAAAAATAACCCCTCTGTTGAATTCACAGTCTTTTTTTCCTCATGGTTTGATTTCACATGGGTGAAAGTCTCAGGCTGTTAGAGAATACACATAAGGAAAAGCATCATTTCTTTTTTGTTTTTGTTTTTTCCCCTACTTTGTTGTAATTGAGTGCTCATTTATCATTCTATTCATCTTTTGAGATCGTAATGAAAATACTCACTGATGTAAGTCATTATGTTTGAGTGCATATTTCATAAATTCTACATTTTGTTGTTTTAACATTCATTTTTAATTTTGTATTTCAGTGCATTCTGTATATTTATTAATACTGACTGAAACAAAGTGTCTTTTATTATATCAGGCTGTAAACCTTGTGTTTCAGAGCTGCTCTGCTTTGTGCTGTACAAATATGGAAATATCAGTAAATATCTCACAGTAATTGGTCTTTGATGGAGCAGCTGTTCAAAGAAAGGTGTTTTTTTCTTTTGTAAGGCATAGCATGAATGAATAGATGTTGCTGTTAATACTGTTTACAACAGTGTACAACAGGTGCAGGGCTGCAGTCCTATCAATCAAGCATGAAAAACCACTCTTTGGCAATGTTATTTTTTATTAACGTATTTTGTCCATTAGTGCCCTTAAAAACTATTTGTTTTCAACCAAGTACAGACGCAGTGTGGCAGTTTCGATTTATCAGAGTGCACCAATCCAGCGTGCCACCCAAGCTTATTGCCCTGTGTGCCTGTGTGCTCAGTATTTTTTTGCTTAAGGTACAGTGCTCTTTTCTCCATGGAACGTCTCCCTCCTGAATGAATGCCCCAGGCTCTGTGAGTGTTGAAAGAAGTCTCATTATTGCAGCAATGTGTGGATAGCCCCTCTCTCTTTGAGACTCAGTTTTGGAGCATTCATAAGCCTTTTTTCTGAGATTTTCCCTGACATGTAAGCGTTGAAGCGTTTCCCCTTTGGGCCAGGCAGTGCAATGCTTGATACTCCTGTCAATGTTTCTGATGCACTCCATGCAACCACTGGTCCTGAGACTCCATTACTTTAAGTGCCTCATGGGGAAATATTTCCGCAGCGCCTCAAATTCTTACTTGGTATGCTGCTGTTTTAAACTGTGAATACATACTGACTCTGCATGGAGTGAGAAAGCCTTTGTGTGCATGTCGTTATAAGCAACACACTTGCTGGCTTGACTTGACATTTAGTGCAAATACTTTGATTCTGTTTTACTCATCAGCCTTTTTTTAACAGACTAAGCATGTCTTGTGTTCATCGCTGCTAGATTTCTTCATCTTAGAGGTAGTCATGCAGCAGCCAATCACCATCATAGTGTTATGCTCTAGCCTTATTTCATTTTATGATCTTGTTTATGTTCTCCCATTTAATAACATCTCTGAGTCTAGTTTCCATGGAAACACATTGTTTTCTGCATCTGTTGCATCTGTCTGTTTTCTGTTGTATCTCTATTGAGTCCACCTTTGATTAGGCCTATCTTTTCACTCTTTGAATGCCTTTAGTGACCCACATATCTGACCTCCAATTCGAAAAAGGCGGTTTGCTCTGTTTTGAAATCTTCAAAGACATGTGCTTGTGGTCCTGTTGTTGGCAGAAAGCTGTACAAGCCCGCAATGCCTCCTTCTTCGAACATTAGCGCACAGATGGCTTGTTTGATGATTTCTGTTTTGACAGGATGTCAGTAGATACTTTTATTATTAAAAGGTTTGGGATTGAAACTGAGAATCCAGAGAAGCCTGTTTCTACATCAACTACAAAAGCTGCTTTTTCTCAAAATAAGTGCAGACCTGATGCCTGACATTGCCGTCATATTGATGATGTTTATATCATCAAGAAGCTAATCTGTATGAGTCACTGGATAGATATAAAGGTTGCAAAAAGTCTGTCTTCACAGTATGGCATTTGTACTAATATCACTAACTCTCTTACACACTCCGTGAACATGACACCACACAGTTGTACTTGCAGTATTTGTACTCAGCCAGAGTTGTTGTGTCTGTCCTCAGGATACAGGGGTCAGAAAGGAGAACGAGGTCAGCTCGGACTGGGGTTACCAGGAGATCCAGGACATATGGGTCCACCAGGTAAGAACAGCAGATTGCACTAATGTTTATAAAACAATAACGAAAACTGCACATATCAATATCTTACATACTAATAATATTATTAACAATAGATCAAATGACTGTGTGTAAAGAGAAAAATGCAATTCATAGTTGGGCAACCACAGAGATTTATCACCCAACTCTGCAGTTCCCCTCAGCTCTATGTAGAGTTTTACCATCTCTAACCTCATTATTTTGTTTTTGTGGACCAAAACAACAACTGTTATGGTTCCCTCTCACAACTTTTATCGACATTGTTTTCAGTCGCAGCAAACAACTATTTTTAACGTAAAAATTGTGAGAAATGATATGCTACCAGAAGTTAGTAACTAGCTTGTGAACATAGTGGAGCATTAAGCATTAAGCTGCTTAGTAGGAGTTGGTGGAGACCAAAAACAGAGCTAAAATAAGAGTGAATATTGGACATACAATGGTCAGGTGGAAACACAACTTCAAATGAATGCCAATGTTGCTCTGCTATAATATGTCAATATTGTCTTTACAGTTTGTGTGAATGAAATGATGAAATGAATTCTGCTTTAAATCTTAATTGTAAGCCTTGAATTTTGACAGAATTAAAAATGTGAAAATTACATTTATTGGATGGATTTCAAGATATGTTTTTACTGCTTGAGGCTTTAACCTCAGCCAGCCATAGACCAGTAAGTCATAAGGGAGTATTTGTGCCTATAAATCAGCCAGCACCTCAGACAGTCAATCAGCCAGTCATGCTTTTATTATACCACTCTTTTCACAGAATGACCAGGTGCTGCATTGACAGCCTTACCTCCTCCACACCTACCACTGTTTATCAAGTTTTCATACCTGGCCACGGAAAGGAATGAAATGTAGCTTATCTCACCATGATACCAGAGAACCTTAAATTCTATTTCAGCCTTCATTTGGTATCCCAGCATGTTTGAGATAAACACAGTTCCCAGATGGTATTATGTTTTCTAAAAGTCAGGCGCCACTGTGACTTAAATGGGACCCCAATAGAGGACAGAATGCTGCAGTGACGGAGCATTGACGTAGTAAAAAAGCCCAGCTTGGTGTTGTCCTGGACAAAAGTTTCACTGCGCACAAGATATCTTCTTGTCCCCTGCTCCTGTGAACAAAAAAATAACTCCCCATAATGTGATTGAGCGATGAGAAGTGGGATTACCGCCCCGACTTCCAGCCTGTGACAGTAGGAGTTTATCACTGAACCTAAAGTCACTCATCCTATCTATGTATGTGCATAATGCATGTGTCAGGCAAAGGGAACGTGGCTGTAGCTCCTTTGGAGAGGACAAATCACAGCTGTTGAAAGATATCATCTCTAGGGGCACAAAGTGATAGGAAGTACCTTCGGCACAACTGGTGGGGTTAGACATCAGCTGTATTCACATCTTGGAAAGAGTTATGACTGTACTGGGCCACTGCGTTGGTTTTCCCTGTGCACTTACTCTAGATTTACAAGTCCCTGTACAAGGGAAGATGATTTCTACCAACTAAAATTTCTGTCACTTGGCCGTCATAATGAGGGACAGCTCACGGTTCCCCTTGGACCACCTACTGGTTCATGGAGACTGGGACATATGAGTCACATCCAGCACAGGAGATTCACACAACTCGATTTTCTCAGTTTTACTATCAGGGAGTAAAAGCCCTCCTGGCTGGTTACAACTTCAGTGTTGTTGGTTCTCATGAGGACATTACAATACCAGAGGAGAGGCAGGGAATCTCTCACTGAATGAAAACTAATTTTCAAGCAATTTGTGTGGTACAGGCCCGCCTGTAGAGTGTTTAGTTCTGTGCTCTAGCTAATAAGCGGGGTTGAGCTAACAGCTGTAAGTAGCCACCCAAACTTACTGCCTGAACATACTGATTTAAATTGTGCATTTTTGTGCACCTTTGCTCTAATATTGACAGTACAAAGCACCATAGTACTGTGGACAGCTTGTGTGTGAGCAGTTAAGCAGGAGATGGATGTGGCAGTGATGAAAAGGGCAAGTTGTGTTTTCAGAGGGAGGAAAAGGACAAGGCTGTACGTGTGATTCCTTTTGTATGAACTGTAGAGGCGGCAGGGCTCCCTTGAGCTGTGACTGTTGTGACTGATGTTGTGGACTCCTGCGGTCGGACTGCAGCGGAGAGTTTTTCTGATTATAGAGATACATTGGAAAGAAAATCTTATGACTGGTTCTTTTTCTTTCAGTATATGAACAAGGAGTCAATGTGGACTGCTTTGCTACTTCAGCAAGCTGTTGCTAAGTAACATGAGATACTAATGTCATCATCTGCCATGACAACATCATGTACTTTCTCTGTCCTTCATTCTCATTAAAGTGAAATTAAATACTTTAATTGTAAACGAGATACACAGCTTTTGAGAAAAAAAGAAGCATGCAAATAAAGTGCTTGCTGGTGTGAAAATGAAACACACAATGGGTTGGGTTGCTGTTGAAGTTAAGCCATCTTAAGGGAAAATAATAATGTTAAAGTAGAATTAAGTTCAGGAGGATATGGCTGGAATAAATACCACATGACAATAAATCAATCTTCAAAATTGTTGTTGATAAACGTATTGATTAATCAACCAAATAGTTTCCACTCTGAACCATACAATCACAAGTCACAATACAATTCCACCTGAAATTTTATGAACAATGATAATTAATTATTGCCCAGCCTTAGGAGAATTTCGTCTTTGATAACAAATTGTAGCCTGACTGATACTGAATTTTTGAGACTGATTCTCAGATATTTGCCATTTTAAAGGTCCAGTGTGTAAAATGTAGGCGGCTCTATTGGCAGAAATTGAATATAATATTCATAAGTATGTTTTCATTAGTGTAAAATAACCTAAAACATTTTTTTCTCTAGTTTCACAGCCACCATAGTGTCTCATAGACACGTGGAAGGGGAGGGTGAGGCAAGAGGTATTAAGTTGGCTCCAGTCTGTAACCACCACTAGATGCCACTAAATCCTAGGTCTAGTAGAAATATCTGCGTTGTATATAAAGTATACTTTAGCCTTATGGAAACCAGTCATATATCATTCTATACTTTTTGTGTTACCTCTCCACAACTCCCATTTCTAACTCCATGTAGCCTGGACAGTGTATGACTGTTTGTGTGAGGGAACGTGTGTCTCTGCCAAACCACAGCTTTGAGTCTTATCACTAATGGAAAGCGCTACTGAACGATGATGAAGTGCAGTCCGGCGCAGGAATTAATAATCTAGTCTAATTCTCTGTCTAGGTCCTCCTGGGATAACTTCTCAGGGCCCTCCTGGCTCTCCCGGACCCCGTGGACCTCCTGGGACATGTGACCCCAGTGACTGTCTCTTTCCATCCCGGTGAACCCAGCAGAGCGGTTCAGGCCGGTTCGAGGACAGACGTCCAGCTCCAAGCTCAGTGCTGCAGGCACAGAGCAGCCTCGCTGTATCGGCTCTGGTTTATCGCACAGACTCACAACTGACCTCTTTTGTTCACTTTGCAATAACATTTGGATGCAGTCAGGATTTTTTTTTGTTGTTGTCTGGTTTGTTTTGAATTCAGTTTTTTTGTGCTGTACTCTTTAAGTTATTTCGTTTTTTCACATCCCCCACTGTGATGTAATGCATTCCATGTCAACTCTCATTATGTCTTTCAAGACTATGAAATGACTTTGTTTCATCACGTTCAGTCCTGTCTGAAAACATGATCTTAATTATTTGTTTGCCTCCTTAATGGGCATGCCTATTCACTCTTCTGGTCTTGTTCAGATAAGCCAATGCGCTGGCAGAAGGTACATCTTGCGCGTGTGTGCGTGTGTGCGTATGTGCTTATGTGTGTGAGAAAGAGATTAGCTGAATGAGTATACTTGTTTTATGTGTAGGTGTGAAAAAATAACAGATTTTTGAAACTCCTTATGCAACCAAAGTGCAGCAGATGCGTCTGATACGGAAATTATTTATTTTTAAGCGTGTTTAAAAGATGGTACAAATAGTTGTAGTAAATGTAGCACGGATATTCAGTTATATTGTCACTAGAAGATGGATTATTACATTTCTGGATTACTGAGAGTTTTGTTTTTTGTTTTAGGAAATTATGACTCGTAACCCATTTGCATTGTGCATGATAATAATTTTTTTTAAAGAATCTTCAACATAATTATTGATAAAGATGTCTTCCCATTTTCTGTAGATTATGCATCAGTACTGAATGTTCATCAACCACATCTTTTGTAATCCAAAAACCTACACCTCATACTGTTCGACGCATACATCAAGGGCAGATCTTTCCACATGAAAAGAATGTACTTTAATTATTGTTCCTGTTCAGCGAGTGTGACTTGACCTCACATTCGTCTTTACTGTTGGTTTAATCTGTAAATAAGTTGAATGAGTGATTGTGTTTTCTTTCTTTTTTCCTGTCTAATGGGGCTTGTAATGGGACCTGACAATATAATTACATAAGCAAGTTGTCATTGTAATGTCACGTTAAGGTTCTCACTTTTGTTATCAATCATACAATGCTGCAAATGTTTTAAGATTTTGTTTGTGTGTCTGAGATGATGATAATTAACATTGTTTACATAGTGTCGTGAATGATGATTCCTCTGGTTTTATTTGTATATTTTTGATTTTCAGCCACAAAAAGGAAATCGGACTACTACACTACAACTTCAGACCTTTTATTTTGGTGCAACACATACTCATGAATCTACTTGAATTTGTTTGTTTTAACAGCATCGTGGTCTACATCCTGGTTTTTCACTCACTGACCAGCACTGTGTGTCACTATGTATCATCGGGTGTAGGGGGTGTCTTATGACTGGAGTTTTGATATATTTATTTGCCATAACAGGTTACAGAGTCATTTTAGTGTAAATTAAGAAGGTTTTGAGTCAACTTCGTCTAAACAGGCCATATGCTGTATCTCATTCATTCACTCTGAAAATTTGTAGACAAAAGTTTCCAACATTCAAACTTTGGATTTAGATGAATGTTCTGTTTGAAGATTTGTAAGGAAATGCACAATTTGTTCATCAGAAAAGTAACCTAAATTTTATAGTCACTCTAAACAATGAGCATTTATTCATCAAAAAAAGATAATTGGCCTGTAGTGTACAGTATATTACGTTCCTAAAGCTTTAACTTGGCGTGCTGTTTAATGAGAGTTTGACTCAAAGCTAATTTTACTTTTAAGTGTCCTGCTGTGATTTATGTTTGAAACATTCTGTGGGTGTATCTGAAAGTTTGTGACATTAAGAACTCGGTTCTATCTGTACGTCATCCTTTAAGATCTGTTTGACAGTTTTTTTCCCCTCTTATACTTCATGTCTCACATCACCATGCTTCTCTTACACATGTGAATTATAACTCACATCTTACTTTGAAGCTGCAGAGGGGTTTTTTATATATTTTTCTCAGCATGCAGGCTTGGTTTTATCTCTGTTAAATTTTATCAGTGTGAGTGGGTCTAATTTTAGAGGGGTATTGAATCAAATGTGTGCAACTAACTTTATTTGTGAGTTGAAAGAGCCCCCTGCTGGACATGTATTTATTTTCTCATTGCTTGTTATGTGAATGGAAAACAATCTTTGTTTGGGTTATAGGCTACATAAAATCCCCTCCTTCTATTGGCTTCTGTCCTTTCATCGCACTAATTTTCATATTCGGTTTAATGGGTTCCCCTTCTCAGACAATAACGCCGACCTTGGCCAAACTCAAATGAGACAGCACCAGCAAACTAATGTGATCTGAACTTTTTGGTGCACTGATGAGAGCAACTCTTTGCGTATATTGAATTTACCCTGCATTGATATTAATGTGCACCGGTTTGTGACTTCAATTAAGCTAAACAGTATGATAACTAGGGAGGACACAAAATGGCTGCTGATGTCACAGCCCACTTCACTAGCAATTTGCTGCCAGCCATTTTACATCGCTCCAAGCTAAAATCCATTTATTCTAAGTGGAAAATGTCAGATGAAAGCAAACTCAAAGGGTGGAGGTGTGGTGGGTTGAAGCATCCTTCAAATGAAATGCTTTTATACATCTAAAGATAGACAGAAACACTTAAAACAATAACATCAGTTTTTAAACATCCACATATTTCATTATTGCTTTTTTTTTTTTTTTTTTTTACAGCAATGGAAGTTGATCCTGTCACCACATGTAATCTAATCTTGTAAATAAGCTTGTAATGAAGGGGAATATGGATCAGCCTCTCAGCATGGTCCCTTGGATTAAAAATGTCTGCCTGCTGCTCTCACTGTAACTCCTCTCTACTCCTTCATAAGCTCAAGTCGTGCTGAGTGACTTTAATGTGTTTTTGTCTGTCTTTGTTTCATTGAATATCTACCTCAGTCTTGGTTTACCACATGTCTACATGATTAGCTATTTTGCAGAAAAAAAAGAAAAAATCCCAACACTGAGTGTTGCCTTTTACTGATAAAAGCAATTGAAACCTCACATGTATGTAAAAACAGATAAATTGCAGTCCTGGATGTTGACATCTGAATCAGTCTGCTAACTGGACTATAAAGAGTAGAGGCAGTAATGCTCCTGTTGTGGAGAATGATCCAGTGTGTATGTGGTTACCAGGTATCAGAGGTTATATTTTACACTTTTCTTTGCAGCATCTTTTATTTACACTGATTAATGGCACCTGCCTTTACACGTGTGCAATAAATGTTATTCAGTGCTTTATTTCCTGTGTTCTTGTGTTGTATTTTTGCGCTCTAACACAGCCTGGGTCTTTTTTTATGATGTGTTTCTGTGTGGTCTGTGGCAGTTATAATTAATCCTTTAAGTGTTATATTGTTACATTGTGATAAAACTCACAACCAAGGTTTCTTTCACCAGACAACTGAGACTTTTAGCATTTCAGTTGTCTTCAAAATGTAATGATATGCATAAAAACTCTATTTTGAATGTAACAATATTTCAGCGTTCATTATTGACCTTGGAAACAACTTTTGATCAAACCCTGGATTTACATACAGTAGCTGTTCTGGAGCACATGATTACACGATCTTCATCAGCAGATGGACTTTGCTCAGTTGTCATGAAAATGTAGATTTAAAAAGATGTAGAAAATGTAGATTTAAAAGATGTTGAGCATCCACATTTCTGTGACAATGACTGAAAGGTGCAGAACAGCTACTAAATTAACCTTGAGGTGAGATCGTCTTGTCAGCTGTGATAGTTTTGTTTTTATTTGAAGTGAAGAAGAACAGTTTTGGAAAAATATATTTGTCACAAAATATTCTGTCATCACATAATGATACCAGTATACAGAATAAAGTAAACACTGCATGTGTTGTTTTCTTTATTTGTAACATTAATGAGGGTCTCCCTCATCCCTAAAATATATTCCATATATGCACGACTGCACTCTGTTGTCATTCTGTACAATGAGACAAAATCTCACATCAGGTTGTTTAGTAGGAAATATAATTAACCACAATTCAAACATTTTTTTTTTTTTACAGATTTACAACATAAACTGAAGTCAGTGTGACTTGATGACATTTTCATCCTCTCTCCTTTTTATTTTGAACTGCAGGGCTAAAAAGCAACATGTAGAGATTTATATTAGGAAAGGGGGGATTCACCAGGTTTATCTTTGGTACATTAGCACATACAGAACCAAATACTTGAAAAAGGCACTCAAACCAAAGAAATCCTGATCCTGATTTACTTTGGGTGATTATTTTTCAAATGTTCTGTGGGAAAGCGGATGCTTTTATTTCAGAAAACAGCGTGAATGGAGGAAAATAGAGGCAGAGGTACAAGGAGAGTGGGATAAACAAACACTTCTGGTCATTTCATATTGCCTCAGAAATGTGAGCACAACATCCTGAAAATCTCAAAACATCTCTCAGGTAGAAAAACACACCAGAACAAGGTAGATTTTTGCAGCACAAAAAAAGGTTTTGTGTTTCTTTACGACTTGAAGAGGCTGGCTCCTTCTGATAGAGATGCTGCTGGCACAAAACACGCTCACAAGACTAGAGGTTAATGGATCGTAGGCACCGCACCGACCGCAGCCCCTTGGAAGACAGTGTGAAAAATGTTGTGTGCTCAGGGGAGCTAATCCAACAGTCTTTCTGTCTCTGTCAGAGTGGCTCTTAGTTCCCTGCGGGTCCCTTCACATCCAGAGACTGGTGGGCGGCTCCTGCCTGGAGGTTGCAGGCTGACGGGTCACAGTAACCATTAGGTCCAGCTGAACCGGGAGGCCCAGGGACACCATGCTGTCCAGGAGTGCCAGGAGGACCCCTCTGCCCGTCACGACCATCCTGACCGTAGCCGGGTTTGCCTGGCTCACCTGTGATCAGGAAACTGATTTTAGGATGCTAGTTGCTATATTTCACATTTTTTCAAACGTAATGCAACAGACACATGCAATTATATACGTTCTTCCTGTCCATATTGGCCTTCAAGAGAGAAGAAACTGTCTGACTTATAAAAAATGTGTGCCTACCCTTTAAAGAGCAAATTTAAAACGCAAAATTGACTTACCAGGAAGTCCGGGAGCTCCTGGCTGACCTTTAGGTCCACGCACAGTGGGCCCTCTGGATCCTCTGTCTCCCAATTCACCTGTAACACATATTTTGTAATGAAGATATTTGTGTACAACGAGCAAGACAAACGTGTCATTGATTTATCTGATGCGTAATTCTGTCACGTCACCCTAAACAGCGACACCGGCCAATGCATTCATTACCTTTGGGTCCTTTCACTCCAATAGGTCCTGGTGGGCCTTTGAGTCCAGGGAGGCCTCTTGTTCCAGCCTGCCCAGGGAAGCCATTATCTCCTGGATTCCCAGGAGGCCCTGGAGGTCCAGGTTTACCTGGTAAACCAGCTACGCCAGACTCCGGCCTCCTTAAACTAGCTGCTAACTGGGCCAGCTGTTCTGTTGGCGCACAGAAGATGATGAACCATTAAATACAAGACGGGCACCATGACACTGAATGTTGTGGTTGACAGTTATCGAGGGAACTTTTGAAGACCTAACACTTTGTATTAAATCATGCTGTAGCATAAGAAGGCTCATTTCTGAAAGCCAAAAGCAACTCTTACGGAGGAGATGGTTCAACAGCTCCTGTACTTGAGTTCAGACAGAAGCAGAGCGAGGTGAAACCGTGGTCACGATATCCCCCGAGCTTCTCTTGTTTTTCAACCTTTTTTCATACAACCTCAGTAAATTGAGCATAAAGGAGATAATACCCTTTATTTCAAGCAATCAGTGACAGAAAATTTATGTTCATGGTGCGAAGGATCTAGTATTAATCTCCTGTGGCTCCTTGCAGCATGGTATTTTGCACTTAAGATTCTAGTTTTCAGGCTCCTGATGAAAATTCATGCAGCCGCTGCTTGACTGCTCCTTTTTTTTTTTAAGATTTCCTTTCCAGGCAGACTCTTTGCTTGGAGCAGAGGAGTGCAGGTCTGCTGGAGGTGAAATTAATTTTTCAGCACATCGGCTATAAAAAAATCATGAGTGTAGGAGATGAGTTGTGAAGACGTAAGAGCAACAGAATGAAGAGAACAGAGCTTGTGACTTCAGTGAGACATTTCTAAAGCTCGGAGAAGGAATCTTTCATCCATCAAATAAACAAAGGCTGAAGCTTATTTCATGTTTGGGCTATAAGGCTTTCCCTTTTTTTTTTAAACTTCAGAGTATTCAGCGACCGCCCAGATCAATGAGACAACGGAGGGGGCAGCTCTGTCTGTGGTTGTGTAATGAAGCATTCTGGGTAAGATTAAAGTCATGAAATAAGGCACAAGGGAATGATAAATGGGGTCAAAGGCCTATCAGTTCTTACCTTGCATGACTCGCATGCAAACTTGTCTGATGTGCTGGTCACTTGGCTCTTTACCCTGCAGGGAAAAAGATGACTTAATAGATTTCATGACAGTGTCAGAAACATTAATGTCACAGTGAAAACATTTCTCCTCATACTGACTTGCTTTCACAATAGTTGAAGGATGGAAAAAAACTACTATTCTTGTGCTTATAAAACCTGTTTAATAAACTCAAAGTGCACTGTGGTGAAGCTTATAACGAGGCTTCCTTTCTCCTCTCCGGAAAAGTTGACATTTTGGATGTACAAGGGTTTCCCCTTACAACAATACAGGTATTGAATTTAAATTGCGATTTTACCAAACTCAATAAGAGAATATTCTTTTTGCTTGCCTCCTCTACATCAGAGTGCAGCTGAGCAGCCTTTGGTGGGTGCAAACATATTAAATTCCCAACAAGATATCATTTTTCAGAGCATCTTGCTCATGTGGTTTGATGTATTCCCTGCTGCTGCACAATATTGGGGTTTAGTGTTTATAGAGTTTATTTGCACAAGTTAAAATTATATGAAGGATATCAAACTAACAAAGATAAAAGTGTTCAAGGAGAAGTATTCTGCCCAGAGGGACTTATTAATGGCCTCTACCTAAGTCATTTTTAAAACATGTTATGTAAACATTTTATAATTAATACCCCTATAACTTTCTTATGAGTAAACTAGGTTTTGTGAAAATAAGTATTAGAAGACAGCGTGAAGTGTTTGCTTTAAAGTAAAACATGAAGCGATGGCTCAGGGATGATTGATTGATTCAAAATTCAAGTGAGATATCAGTTAGAAAAAGAAAGGATTTGACAGGAGTGACAGAGGGGGTTTCAAAACTCTAAACATTATCATGTTTTTTTGTTTCTGTTGACTGATACTTACTGAGGTTACTGCCACAAATACATTGAAACTCAATGCAATATGAGAAAATGAAAGTGATGGATTTGCTATGAATTGTCTAACATACTATATACACTATTTTAGAAAGTATTGTGTAGATGACAGGGGCAGGACTAGAGGTGTGCCATAAAAAATGCCTTGCAGCTGTGGTGGCAAATGGAAATTGACACATCTAATTTAATGATCTGTTATAGCCACATTTTGGATTAAGTTCAGTGAAAAAGATTTGGAAATAAAACAATTTATTGATACTACTACTAATGCCGACTTTTGATATTTATATTAAGCCAAAAAAAATAGCGTGATGTTTTTTTAGTTAAAATATCTTCATTTGGGGGGCTTTTCCAAGCAAACACTGATGGATGTGATGTAATTAAATCAGTATATATTTTTGCCACCCTTTAAAGTCTCAATGCCACCCTCTTGCCAACCCACGAATATTTCTCAAAGTCCACCCCTGGTAGACAGAACAGATTACAACTGAAGACTGTGGTCAAACTTGTATCTTTTTCACTCTCTCTGTCTTTTGACTTGTTTTCTCTTGGACATACCGCAGGACCCTGGGACCCTCTGACTCCAGGTGGACCCCTGTTCCCCTGCATGCCCCGTGGTCCAGGTGTGCCGGGCGGCCCCTCGATGCCAGGCTGGCCTCGACTTCCCTCTGGACCTCTCCTGCCAGGCTCACCAGGATTACCGACCTCAAGAGAAAATAAGGTACCAGACCGGAGAAATATTACAAGACTGCAGCACTTTCTCAATGGTATTACACCACAGGAAAACACTGAGACACTAGGTTAAAATAATCCGTTTGAACTCACCTCTCCTTTAGGTCCACCTTCTCCTGACTCACCCTATGATGCCATTTATAACACACAGAGGATGGAGACAAGGACAATTGTACTCTGGTGAGATTCTATTATTAATAGAGACTTTGAATAGTTACATTTATAGTATTAGTGC